GGGAACACGTTAATGTTTAATATTTAAACTATTGGTATCATTTTTCTAATGTATAATTTGTATTACCAGGATAAAACACATACAGTGGCAATGCTAGTGTTAGAAGCAAAGTTTAAACAAGCTTTGGAAATGCCACTTTCGTATTTTGAGATGTCAGATTTAATAAATAGTTACTTATGTTTTAAATTTTGGAATAGTTAACATCTAATCTAAAACCATCAAATTACATTTTTACAGTAATTAACTTACAAATATTTCAGTACTGTAAATTATTTGAAGTGATTGCAGTAGGTAAACTATATTTCAGCTCCAATATCTTGACCAAATAATTTACAATTCACAGAATATTTAAGAAGGTGCTTTATTTTTCTTTAAAACTTGATTTTGGTTAAGTATGACTTTATTCATGCCAAAGTTAATGAGGAAAAAAACCTCAAAACTAGTTGAGACTCATTTGCAAAACTACCCATAATCCACATTGTTTCATACTATTAAGTTCAATAAAGTAAATTTTATTCTAGTCAGAGCCTACATCACATTTTTAATGTCTGCTTGTTTGATACTATACTTAATATATCATGCTAGTGCCAAGATTTACTAAATGTCTTAAAATTGGCCCATTGGACCTGTCCAAATTAAAAAAAGAACTGACTCAATAAATACACAAAATATAATAATTGCAACATCTTCAGTTGAAAAATCTTGATGTTTTAAATTCTTAGGAAGATTCAATAATTAATATTGATGGCTTCCTATTAAAAACTTGACCTGCAATTAGAGAGGCCTCTGACCTCTACTTTCAAAGTAGAGGGGCCCTCACAAGTATGGACATGTTATGTGTGTGATCTTACTTAAGAAAAATCATTGGATCAGCTAATCTCAGTAGTGTAGACAATTTTAAAAAAATTTAATCCTCACCAGAGGACATGTATAGAGAGAGAGAGAGGAAGAGAGAGAAACATCAATTAGTTGCCCTCTCTGTGCTCCCTGAATGAAGATCAAACCCTCATCCCAGGCACTTGCCCTAACTAGAATCAAACTGGCAACCTTCCAGTGTATGGAGTGACGCTCAACCAACTAAGCCACACCAACAGAGCTAATATTTCAAATAAAACCCTCCTTTGTTTCTAGTCTCTTTATAACCAGTATCTTCTGCTAAAGTGAGCTGTCTTGTATTTTTTAGTCTTACTACACACATAACAGAAATACTTTTTTTTGCTCCATTCTGCTTTCATGAACAAAAAGATTATTGACATGGTTGCTTAATTCCTGAATTTTGATTTTTTTAAATTTGAAGGAAACCTTTGCTGTTTTTATTTTCCCCAAAAATGAGCTGGCATTTTAAGAATTATCATAATACTAGTAACATACTTCTAAATTAACAGTAATTGGCATGTTAAATTAATAATGAATCATATTTTACAACTGTGGACTCATAGACAGGAGTGGGAAGCAATAGTGGAAATTCCTGACTTATTGAGGAAGCACTTCAGTTTTCTCTGGCATAGTTTAAAGATGAATGTTTCTGGGAATGTTTTTAATGCTTTTTTTTTTTTTTAAGAGCAAAATGTACATTTGAATGTGGTTATCTACTTTCTACAACACTGGATTACTAGAAATAATTTTTTTTAAAAATCAGTCTTCTATCTAAACTATTTGAAATTCAAGTACAAAAACATCTGAAATAAAAAGCACTGTCTTGGCCATGACACAAGTGCACTGTGATGGTGCCATTTGCTCAGGACTCAACTTTGCAGCCCTTATCTGTGCACCTGTCTGAGTCTTTTGCCGTTAGTACACACCCAGGCATTCCTGTCTGGTCCTTAGCAAAGCTGGGCTTCCAAATCACTGTTGAACACAGGATTCTATTGTTAATGTGGATGTTCTACAACTGTATTTTAAATATCAAAGATTATTAAATAAAGGTAATGTTTGCTTTTTTATTTGTTTTTGTGTTTATTGTTAACTCATAGCCTTAACATTTAATGTTTGGTTGGAGGACCAGCAATGGCTGTACCACCCCGAGAACTTCATAAATGCAGAGTTTCAGGCCACACTCCTACCTCCTGAGAGCTTCTTTTTAACAGGATCCCTGGGGATTCCAGTGCAGAGTGAGGTTGGAGAAGCATTATTTTACAGACTGGTGATGACTATATCAGGCCTGGGGAGGCCCACCGACACTGTGTCAGCTAACTGCTGCCAAAGGGCCCATCATTACTAGAGCCTCAGATCTTTTCTCAGAAGCGAAGCATCCCACGTTTTTATTTGAAATTAAGTTTCGAATGTTGGCTCAATTATTTTTAACTTGGGGCCAAACCACATGATAATTTTTAAGAGTGCTGGTTTTCTCTTATTTTATCCAACTCTGGACACTAGAATCTAATAATTAGACTCCACCTGGACAGATAGGATCCTAGGATTATGAGTTTGTATATCTATTTTAGCCTTAATTAGGGTTGGGCACAAACTTCAAAAAAATTTTTCAAATAGATTATATAATCTTTTTAACAATAGCTTGGTGCTTAGAAGGACCAATTCATTGAATTTGGATGCCACCAAATGAGTGATCTCATCAACACTCACCTGTGGGCCTTGTGAAACATGTTGATTTGAATGCCTATTTCATGTTTTCTTAAAAAAAAAATATATATATATATATATATATATATATATATATATAAATATATTTTATTGATTTTTTTTTTTTTTTTTTTTTTTTTTTTTTTTTTTTTTTTTTTACAGAGAGAGAGGAAGGGAGAGAGATAGCTAGAAACATCAATGAGAGAGAAACATCAACCAGCTGCCTCTTGCACACCCTCCACCGGGGATGTGCCTGCAACCAGTGTACATGCCCTTGACTGGAATCGAACCTGGGATCTTTCAGTCCGCAGACCGACGCTCTACCACTGAGCCAAACCGGTTTCGGCTATATATATTTTATTTATTTATTTATTTTTAATTGATTTCAGAGAGTCAGGGGGAGAGAGAAACATCAATGATGAGAATCACTGATTGGCTGCCTCCTGCACACCTCACACTGGGGATTGGGTCCAAAACCTGGGTATGTGTCCTGACCAGGAGTCAAATCATGATCTCCTAGTTCGTATGTTGATGCTCAATCACTGAACCACACTGGCTGGGCCCTATTACATGTTTTATAAAAACATCTTTTATTAAAGGGAATTTTGGGGTTATCCTTACCCTGAAGATTTGCATATTTAAGACCCTTTAACCATTTAAAAAAAAATTATCTGTATTGTTGGAAGTATTACAGGTGTCCTCCATATCTCCCCCATCTTTTAACTATTTGGTATCACCAAATGCTCAAAATTCATGAGTCCAGCGACTTCAGCTTGTCCTTTTGACTTTCCCCCTTGACTCACTGTAGTCCCACTTCAGTCCTATGGAAGGCTGAAGAAGCTAGTGGGCGTTACAGATCTTCAGATAAACCCTGGCCTTTCCCAGCTGCAGGCACACTGTAACACTCCTTGTCTCCTTTGCACCCTTTGAGTTCTTGCTCCTCTAGTTCATTTGCCATCTCCTGCTCCAAGGAATCTTTCAGCTGGACTATCACTGTGCTGCGCCCTCTTCTCTCCCAAGGTCGTTCCAGTTCTCCCTGTGTCTGGAACCCCAGCCACCCTTTGCCTCATAGGCTGCTAGAGAGAAGTGATTCCTGTCATTCATTCAAAAACATTTGAGCGCTTGTCTGTGCTAGATAGGGTTCTGGAAGCTTAGAAACAGCTATGAATAACATGTCTGCTCTCATGGGCTTGTAGACTAGTTGGTTGATAAGTAGAGGGAACACTTAAATTAATAAACTAGGCTTTATACCATGTTAAGAACTGCTTGTTCTGTTGAGAGGAAGACAAACAGGATGATATAATAGAATGTGACTGGGAAGGAGGACTGCTTCCGAGTGGGTTCAAGAAAAGCTTCTGTAGAGGTGACATTCAAACACCAAAAATGATGGAACATCCATGCAAAGGTGTGGTGTCACCAGACCTGCCAAAGGACACAGCAAGCATGATGGCCCTGAGGTGAGCAGAGAGAAGGCTGAAGAAGCTGGTAGGTAGTGGACAAGAGAGAAAATTGGGATGACCTTGATTTTGGGAAGGCAAAATCTTAACATGTAGGGTTTCATAAATAAAGGTATGAATTCTATTTTATTACACCAAGCACTTTGGCTCCACTTTCTAGAATATTCCCAAGCCTTTATTTTTATTTTTTTTAAATCGCTCTAGCTGGTTTGGCTCAGTGGATAGTGTCGGTTCTGAATGGTCCTGTGTTCGATTTCTGACCAAGGGCACATGCCTGGGTTGCAGGCTCAGTCCCCAGTGGGGTGCATGCAGGAGACAGCCGGTCAATGATTCTCATCATTGATGTTTCTATTGCCCTCTTCCTCTCTCTCAAATCAATAAAAATGTATTTAAAAAAAACCTTTTACGAGGCTCATCAACTACATCCACCAAAGAGCATGCCAGTGTTCACCTTAACCCAAAAAACTGGCTGAATGTCCAACACTAAGGATACTGTTTAACCAATTGCAGATTAAATTTTAGTCAAGACTCACTACCCACTTGTGCATTTTCTTTTTCTTCCTGTTGATTCTATGCAATTATTTTCATCACTATCAGATGATTATGGTTCAGATTTGAAACCTTAGTATCATATTTAGTTGTTAAATCAAATCATCAACTATAATATAGTGGCTAACATCTGGATCTCTCCCATTTATTCCCTTTTTGTCTTTCTCAGCCATTTCTGGTTCAGAACATCGTATCATATGCAGTAACATCTTAGCTGTTCACTTCGTCTTCAGCCTCTTTTTTCTTTTTAAAAATTGATTTCAGAGAGGGAGGTGAGGGAGAGACAGAAACATCAATGAATCATCTATCAGCTGCCTTCTGCATGTCCTCTACTTGGGGAATCTGCTGAAACCTGGGCATGAGCCCTAACCTCCTGGTTCATTGGTCGAGGCTAGACCACTGAAGCATGTCGGAGGGGCCAGCTTCTGATTTTGAGACCAGCCTTCCTAAAGCTGGTTAGTCCCATCACTCCAATTACCTTTAAGTGAATCTCCACACTGTCAACATGTTATTGCAGGTTTAATTTCCGTAAACACTGGAAAGGATGATGCCAAATTATCATTTGCTGAAATGATTGTATGCCTAGACAACCCAAAGAAATTAACTGAAATGCTACAGAGCTAATAAGGTGTGTGTGTGTGTGTGTGTGTGTGTGTGTCATTTTACAAATGAGAAACCGATGAGCAAGGAGGGATAGATCCAGGCAGTCAGCCCCATGGTCTGCACATCTAACCAGCGGGCAGATGCTTATGGTAATAAACATTTCCAGAACGAGACGCAGGTGTCCTTTTAACACCATTCCGATTTCAGGGAGAGCTTGCCTGGCGCCCTCCGATTCCCACTAGAGGAGACATCGCCATGCTCCATCCACAAATAGTGCCACCTGCTCCTGTAGCCCCTCCTGACAGGCCGTGTAACCATCGGTACAGTAACCTGTGATCATCAAGCCTCTTCCTGCGCAACGGAGCGACTCCGCCAAGCCTCCTGGCACCAATGCCTACGCGGGAGTCAGAATAAAAACACTGGGGCTCCACCATCACAAGTGAGTCCACCGGGTTCCGGGCCATGTGGGCTTCGGGGGCGCCCCAGGCGGGGGCGGGCTCTGCCTGACAACACACCTTCCGCCCGCCGACCGCGCCGCGCCGCCCGGGTTCCCGCGGTGTCCACCTGGCTGGAGCTCGACCTGGCGCTCCGCCGCCCCCGCTCGGTCTTCCGCGTTCCCACGCTCCCTTGCGCTAAGGACACGTCCGCCGGTCCCGCAGGGCCCTTCTAGGCCGCCGTGGCGCCTCTCTATGATCCGTCGCCGCGTTGCGAGGGGATGTCATGGCGGCCGGCGTCGAGTTGGCAGGATTTGCTCACAGAACCGGGGGAAGGCACTGAAGCAGAGGAAGAGGTGGCCCAGCTGGACGGCGGGAAGTCGCGGGCATGAGCCGAGGCCCCGCGGGGGTGGCCGTGTGACAGGAGGCGGGCCCCCGAGAGAGTCCCAGGCCGGGCCTCCGCGTTTCTATGCGGAACGGGACGTCGGCGGGGGAGCCCCCGAAGACGCCCGCGTTGCCTAGGAACCCCGCCCCGTGTCCTCGGCTCCTGAGGGCGTAGAGTGTGGAGCGAAGGCAGCCGCCAGAGGACATTTGGCGGGGTCGTCCGACGGCGCCGGGCGCGTTTTCCCGGAGCGGAGCGGGGCGTTGTCTAACCCGCGGCGATGTCGTCCTGGCTGGGGGGCCTCGGCTCCGGCCTGGGCCAGTCGCTGGGGCAGGTCGGGGGCAGCCTGGCTTCCCTCACTGGCCAGATTTCAAACTTTACGAAGGATATGCTGATGGAGGGCGCGGAGGAAGTGGAAGGTAACAGCTGGGGCGCGGGGGAGGGCTTTCCCGGGACCCGGGAGCGTCCGTTTGGTCCCCGCGCCCATCTGTCAGGAGACGTGGACGGGCCGCCGCGGAGGACACTCCGCCCCTTTTTTCTTTCCGCTCCTTTCGCCTCTTCTGGACCGGGTTTCCTCCTCTGGCGTCGGGGGAAAGAATGGGGGTTCTCCTCCCCTTTACATATCTGGGTTTCCCGGAGCGGAGCGACCCTGCTCCTTGGCGGAGTAGTTTATTTTTGTTGGGTTCGTCCACGCCCACCGCGGACTTTGTCCTCCGCTTGGGGGCGGAACTGATTTTGATACTTTTCCTTTATACTGACAATTTCAAAAAATCATTTGTGGACGACACAGTCACTTTTATTTCCTTTGATTGATGTAACAATGGCAGTAACTCATAAAGTATTTAGTATCGCTCACCCTTGTCCGATTTGAATATATTGTTAGTGAAACACAGCTATGTTTTTCCGATTCGTTATTTTACAGTTTTGCCTGTTCTGGTGACAGCGTTCCAACTGAAAATGTGTTTTTCTGCCCAATCGCCCAGTAGAACAAGGGAGATATTCTATTTTTTGGGTATCCTTAGCAACCTTCGCTCGTTTTTGAAGTCCTCATTTTATGTTACTAATGAACAGTGACTCGGAGTTGCTTGGTGTTCGATGGCTAATTACTGTTTTGATTTCTTGATATTTCTTTCAACAAGTAATATTTAGATCAAAAGAGGTGTCGGTGTGTTGTTTTTTCTAGGACCATTCTAAATGGGTTTATTAAAAAGACTGTTTACAGAGGTAGAGAGAGGGTGTAGAGAAACCGCCAGGAACAACCAAGCGGTGTCACCACCCCCAAGAGGGGAGGGACTCAAAAAGAGTTCTTTAATCTTTTTTTTATTTTTATTGAATTTTTACAGAGAGGAATAGAGAGCTAGAAACATCGATCAGCTGCCTCCTGCACACTCCCGCAACCAAGGCACATGCCCCTGAAGGCAATCCAACCTGGGACCCTTCAGTCCGCAGGCCGAAGCTCCATCCACTGAGCCAAACCGGTTAGGGCAGAGTTCTTTAATCTTTAATCTTAGGTCTGCCTCCAAACCTAAGATGAGAGCAGTTCCTTTGGCATTTTTATTCTTTCATACATTAATACATTTAGCATTCTGGGTTAATTTTTAAAATCTTGTTTGACCTCAACCTTCATGTTTATTTGGCTGAAGGAAAGTTAGTTTGATAAAAAGATAGTACTTATATTTAGTATTTAGAGGGGAGGAAAATGAATCTGTTTTACTGCTTGGGGTATCCTTGGGGTGGGAGGTACATCAGGTGGGGCAGGTTGGGAATGGGTGTGAAAGGGATTCTTCCTGTGTCAGGGAAGGAAAGGGTCATTGAGGTAAGTCAGAAGCAGAGATGGGCCGCCTGACATGGGGAGTGACTACTCTCTCCTTGAATACTACATAGGGGAAGACAGTTGGCAATTTCTTTGACCCTAAATCAGAAAATATGCGTACCCCCAAGCTGGATGTCCTGCAGGCTTAAGGTGGAATTTTGTTCTTCCCACCAATTATGCTCCTTCAGTCTCAATCTTAATGGTTTCACCATCCACCCATTCTCCTAGAATAGAAATGTTTGTCATCTTTGCTTTGCCTCTTTTTTATATCCTGATTGGTCACTAAATCTTGGTCATCCTGTGCCAGAATTGTTTCTTGTATCTGTCCTTTCCTTAATTACTATTTCTTGAACTCATACCCCATTATTTTTCCCCTGCACTTTTCTCTTTCACATCCTGTCATCCATTTCTCCCTGTTCCACTCCATTTTCTGTTGTGCTGCCAGTTACTCTTCTAAAAACAAATGTGCTTTAAAATCTCTTGGCCCTATTACTTCCTTGATAAAATCCAAATCTCTTAATTTTGGGAGTCCAGAAACCTATCCTGTCTGGGTTCAGCCTACCTTTCCCAGTCTTACCTCTTGTTTTCTTCCCTTCTCTTCCAATTGTCAAACATGTGCACATTCACATACACGTACACATTTGTGCTTTCATCCAGAGCTTATGCCACATGGAATTTTGTGTGCCTATACAACTTCAAGCTTCTGCATGGTAAGTCCTTCCTTTTCTAACAATACTTCCTCCTCTGTCCTCCTTTTCCTGGAAAACAATTTTTCCTGTATGGCCCTGCTCACATGCCAGGTACTTGGTGAAACCATTCTCACTCCATGGCAGGTTGAATTGATTGCAGGCAATTCATATTCTATCAGAACTATGTGGATCTCTGACAGCACTTACCACATGGAGTTATAATTTATCTCTTTTCTTGATGCCCTGGGTAAGGACTGCATTTTATTTATCCTTATGTGGCGTCTTCCCTGGTACATAGTGGAAGTGATTAAAAACCTTCAGAGTTGCTCAGTAAGTAAAAATCTCCAAAGTTGCTTAGTTCTTTTGTTTTCCTTTGAATTAAAATAGGACATGCTTAACACCTAGTGACTGGTTTTATAAATCATTTAAAAATCGGGTCAGAGTCCACTTCATTATTCATGCAACAAGTATTTATTGATTGTGTATCCTGTGTCAGCAGTGAACAAGATAATAGTTCTGAAATAGTACTGTTGGTACAGCTTGAGAATCATCCATGTTTACAGTATCAGAAAGTTGCTATTCCGCCAAGCAAACACTGTACTGATTTATTCAAGGTTAGGAGCTTGGGCTATTAAGTCAAACATGGGTTGAAATTCTCCTTCCATATATTAAAAATTGTGGGATCTTTGGCAAATTATTAAGTACTTAGTCTCTAAAAAGCAGAGTCTCCTTATCTGTTAAATAGGGATAATCATACTTATCATGAGGTTGGGAGGATTAAATGACGTCCTGAATATAAAACACCTAGCACTGTGCCTAGAGAATAGTAAGCATTACTAAATGGTAGCTATTGTTCTTGTTTTCCCTCTCTGAGGAATAATTTTTTGTCTGTATTATATCTTCCCTTTATTCTTAAAAAGGCCAATATTTTTATTTTTGGGGGGGAGAAGAGTATGGAGGATGGTCTACATTAACTTTTTGTTTTATCCCTCTTTGAAACATTTGTGGTCTATAATCACCTTCCTAAACAGATTAGATTATAATTTGTTCTCTTCTGAGTAGCAATTAGACATTCCTGTCAGAGTTTTAAGCAAGATGTATAAACAACCACAGAAGCAACTGCACCTGGTGATTTTCAAAACAAGAAGAGTGGGTTTGTCACTTTTACTGTACGCCACTTGTATTATCTTCTAATTTAAACTGTAATTCAGAGAACTTATTTTTATAGAATTAAAGTACTATGAGTAATGGAAAATACTACTATGTAGGAAAAACCTAACTGTGCATGATAATTTTCTGGTCGCATGAATGGTGCTTTGCCACTACTGGCCTCTGATTCTTTTCTTATATGAAAACGTGTGAACCTAGACTAAGCTATTCCTATTAAACAAAACAATTTTTTAATTGATTTCAGAGAGAGGAACGGAGAGGGAGATAGAAATAGAAACATCAGTGAAGAGAGAGAATCATCATTCAGTTCCCTCCTGCAAACCCCCTATTGGGGATTGAACACACAACCTAGGCATGTGCCCTGACAGGGTTCTAACAATGACCTCCTGGTTCATAGATCAAGGCTCAACCACTGAGCAACACTAGCTGGGCGGAGCTATTCTTATTTTAAATAAATCGTGTCTATGTTATTTGAAGTAAGTGTTCTTTTAGCATATTTTCATTTTTTGTTTATAGGTCATTAGTTATTTGATAGTAGTGGGAGAAGTAAGACATAAGGCCAGTTGTATAAATTTCATTTAAACACAGATTTCATTTGTAAAACTTAATTTTCCAAATTTTAATGAACACTTCCAAGGGATAAAGGTAGATATCGTAGGGTGTATAAGATATGCAAAAAATAATGACTTCTCTGACAATAAAGAATGCTTGTAGCAGTAGGAAGTAGTGATAAGATCAAGTGATATTTATCTTATGAATAGATTCTAGGATCAGCATACCATTCTGTTTAAAGCTCAGTACAGTATATTTCCCTTACAATGCCTGTTTATTAGTTTATATGTTGTTGATTGTATATTCAGTATGTGCTGTTTCTTTTATAGCAGAATTACCTAATTCCAGGAGAAAGGAAATTGAAGCCATTCATGCAATCTTAAGATCAGAGGTAAGGAAAATTAAAGACTACTGTTGAACTTAGATTTTTCTTTTTCAAAGTTATGAAAGCTATTCTTGCTTTATTTTTGTCCTCTCTTTTTAATACACTGTTTGCCACTTTTTTTTTTTTTTTTTTTTTTTTGTCTATTGCTCTTTAAGTTTTTTAAAGCATTATCAACTTTCTTTAGATGAAGACTATATTTATATGTTACTGCACTTTGCTATGTAATGTTTCCATCTCTGCTTCTCCATGCTAGGAGTAGGAAAACTGCTAAATATAGAAATAATAATAGTAACAATTTATCATTGTCAAGGACTTACTATGTTCTGACTGTGCTAAATTATAGGTATAGCAAATTACTTTTATCTTTTTCATTATTAGTTCATGCCTTGTGATGTTTAACTCTGGACATTTTGCATACTTAATAGTGATGAGGAAACTTGGAAAGGATTCAAAGGAAAACTACAAAGAACATGAAAGGATTTAAAAAAATATGTTTTAATTGATTTTAGAGAGGAAGAGAGAGGGAGAGAGAGAAACATCAATGATGAGAGAGAACCATTGACTGGCTGCCTCCTGCACACACCCTGCTGGGGATCGAGCCCACAACCCAGGCATGTGCCCTTGGCTGGAATCGAATCTGGGACCCTTCAGTCCGTAGGCTGATGCTCTATTCACTGAGCCAAACCAGCTAGGGTGAACATGAAAGGATTTAAAGTGAGATCTGTTATAAAGTATGAGACATTCAGTGATTTAATCCAAAAATAAGAGCAGTGAGGGAACACAATAGTATTTTAGGAAAAGACATTCTTAGGGCTGTAACAAATATGTTTTCCTGTCCGTTAAGCTCATAAAAAAAGAAATTAAATTTGAAAAAAATTTACATACAGCAAGCATTTTTGAGTTTTGGTCAAGATTACCAAAATGAGATTATGGAATTTGAAATTGAGGACCTCTCAAGAGGACTTCCAGTAGTATTCTGCCCCCGTAGAAGATGGCAGGTTGGTGGCATATTAGAGACGCTATCAGTAATCTTCCTATATAATAAAGAGGTAATATGCAAATTGACCCTCACGCCTTCACAAGATGGCTGCCTAACATCAGGCCGATAGGGGGGTTAGTGAGGGACTGAGCAGGCTGTGTGGGGCGACCAAGCTGAGAGGGGGGTTTGTGAGGAATGACCAAACAATTGAACAAATAGGCTGTGTGGGGTGGCCAGGCCAGCAGTGAGGGACAACCAAATGACTGAACAGGCTGCATGGGGCAACCAGGCTGGCAAGGGGGACTGTTGGGGGCAACCAGGCCAGCTGTGGGGGACAGTTAGGAGTGACTATGCTGGCAGGGGGGGTGCAGTTAGGGGCGACCAGGCAGGGAGGCAGGTGAGTGATTAGGAGCCAGCAGTCTAGGATTGTGAGAGGGATGTTTGACATCCCCCTAGGAGTCTCGGATTGGAGAGGATGTGGGTCAAACACACCCTGGAGCCCTCCCACAGTCACTCCTTGGCTGGCCAACTTCTTATATTTCTCCCGGCCCCAGTTGTGCACTGGTGGGGTCCCTCAGCCTGGCCTGTGCCCTCTTGCAATCCAGGACCCCTCGATGGATGTCCGAGTGCCAGTTTCTGCCAGATCCCACAAGGGGAGAGACGCTCAGCCAGAAGTCAACTCATGGCTGACCAGTACAACGGCAGTGGCGAGCCTCTCCTGCCTCTGTGGTGGTGCTAAGGATGTCCGACTAATGCTTAGTCAGACATCCCCCAAGGGCTCCCAGACAGAGAGGGTGCACACCGGACTAAGGTAACCCCCTCTCCCCTTCGAGTGCACAAATTTCTTGCACCGGGTCTCTGGTTACTTAGTAAGTAGATGCTTTTATGACAGGTGAACTTAATAGCTTCTTTTTTGTAAGACTGAGGTAGAGCCGAAACCAGTTTGGCTCGGTGGATAGAGCGTCGGTCTGTGGACTGAAAGGTCCTGGGTTCGATTCCTGTCAAGGGCATGTACCTTGGTTGCAGGCACATCCTCTGGGGGAGGGGGATGTGCAGGAGGCAGTTGGTCGATGTTTCTCTCTCATCGATATTTCTAGCTCTCTATCCCTCCCTGTAAAAAATATATATTTTTTAAAAAGACTGAGATAAAAAATTGTTCCTGTAGTCCCTAGATAGACCTAGTTTCTAGTACAGACCCACCCAGAAAAATTATACGGCAGTTGTGTGTAGTAGTATTAATTTTGGTAAATTCGCGATTGTTCATCTTTGGGGGAAATAGTAAATAGGGTTTTAACCTGCTTAATGGATGTCTGCTCTGCATAGAGCTTGAGAAGGGAGATAGAAAGAAACCTTCCATCCCTCATTGATCTCAGTTCTAATCTCTCATAGCATTACCATTGGGCTACATGGCAAATATGATTCTAGTGTTTAGAAATACATATTTTTAGTATGACACATCCCCAAAAGAAAACCCACTTCCTCATTTGATGCTTATTCAGAGTAACGTGAGCTACCCAAGTACTAGAGGAAAACATACTGTTGGGCTTCCCAAGGGCTTTGTTTTCTAAGCTGGTTTTAAATGCACATGATTCTTGCCTTATGTCAGCACATAAGCATTTCACCCCCTAAATCCTGTGTGACTGTGCAATGAAAGAATAAGGTGAAGATATGATTGAAGCCATCAGGAAACTTACAATATCAAGTTCTATTTGGAAACTTTTAGTTTAGACAGAGGCCAGTGTGTTTTCCAGAGGAAATTGGACTTCTGTACAGATGTTAGTATTTGAAGGTGACTGAATTAGCTGGGTTTCTTTAGTGCAAGTAACAGCAGCCAATCTAAGCAAATTTAACCCTCTATACCAAGAAAAAATAGTTATTACATATACCATCTGGATCCAATGGGCTCTTTTAATTTTTTTAATATTAAATCATTTTACATGTAATTTACAGAAGAATGAAATCACAGTGAAAAACTTTATTAAATATTTTAATAAACGCTTATATAGCAAATCCAAAATTCTATGTTTCTGGTTTTAAAAACATATATTCAAAGCAGGCAGTGTTCTTTGAATGCAGTTTACTGCTTATTAATTCTTACACATGAACTGGAATGTATCTTGTAAATACTGATTCTAGATTCACTTATATTTGCTTATTTATTTAACTTCTGTTTCTTTTTCTTTATTTGTGTCACTAAACCTAATACTTCTGATGGTTCTTGATTTTGTTGCAGAAATAGTGGCTTGTCATCTTTGCCCCATAATTGCAAAACATTTTTATTCTTATTTATAAATGCCAATTTAAACGATCAATCCTCTGATTTTTTTTGTCATCTGTTTCCTCCCAGTCATCTGCCTTCAGCATTTACCCCTGTATGAACTATATCAAGTAAATGTTCAAACGTTCATAATGAAAGAATACTGTCACATATACATATCCATTTAGCACAGTGGGATGTTCAAGTTCTTGTCAAAAAATATTGTGAGCCCTAACTGGTTTGGCTCAGTGGATACAGTGTTGGACTGCAGACTGAAAGGTCCCAGGTTCAATTCCAGTCAAGGGCATGTACCTTGGTTGTGGGCACATCCCCAGTAGGAGGTGTGCAAGAGGCAGCTGATTGATGTTTCTCTCTCATTGATGTTTCTAACTATTACTATCTCTTCTTCTCTGTAAAAAATCAATAAAAAATATTTAATAAAATGTTGTGAAAAAATATTTTCTTATTTGAATGACTAACTTGATGAGAATACTGTATTTCTGTTTTATTCTTAGGAATGCATTGTTGAGTCATTAGTTCTTGAGTTTGAGAAAATTTACCTAGGATATTGTTATTTGAAGATTTGTCTGAGATTTTGCTTCTATACTTAGTTTCACCATAACTGTTAGACTCTAGAATGCTGTTTTCTATCTCTTTGCATTTGTCTTCTTAGTTGTGTAATAATTGTTTAGTATTTTTTGTTTTCTTCTCTGTTAAATGAAAATTCTGAATTTTCAACTGTGTTCAATGAAAACAAAACAAAACAAAAAAAGCTACAAAGATGATATCTCCAGATAGTTTTTATCTTTTTAAAAGATGATGTAATACATTGGGCAACACAGTCAGAAAACTGGTTATTTCATTACTGCATCATTCTTTTAGATGATTCCACTAGTCTTTTATTTTCTTATTATTTAAACTAGAAGCTCGATGCACAAAAATTTGTGCAAGAATGGGCCTTCCTTTCCCTTGCTGCTGGCACCACCTTTTAGCTCTGACCACATCTGCTTATGCTGCCCGGAGGTCCTGAGCAGCTGGGGTGGTGCTGAATGCCTATGCCCTGCCCCAACCCTGGCTGCTCGGCGCCTGCATATGCAAATCAATCCACCATATTTATTGGGTTATTTGGGTACTGACTCCTGATTGGCTAATGGACATCACAAAGGTACAGTAAATTTGCATCTTTCTCTTTATTAGTGTAGATTGTTTTTAGCATAATGGGGGATAATTGATGAAAATAATTCTTAGGATGATAAAATAGCAAAATGTTTTAAGATATGGAAAACAAGATCATTATGATCCCATGATTATTCTTGGACTTATAAAAGGGCCCATGTATCCTGTGGTACTTAAAAGATAGAATGAGTTTTATTCTGTTAAAAAATATATTTTCTCTTTATTGGAAAACCTCTATAAAAGAAGAAAAGATATGAATATCAGTTATTTATTTTTTTAATCCTCACCTGAGGGTTTTTTTCATTGATTTCTAGCCAGAGTGGAAGGGAGGGAGGAGGGAGAGAGACAGAAACATTGATGTGAGAAAGACACATGGATCGATTGTCTCCTGCAGGTGTCCTGACCAGGCTAGAGAACCTGCAACCAAGGTGTGTGCCAGCAGTTGAACCTGTGACACTTGCATCAGTGGGCCAACACTCTAACCACTGAGAAAACTGGCCAGGGCATGAATCTCAATCTTTTTTGATAGTTAGAACTACTCAAAAATGAAACTCATAGGCTAAAATTGGTTTCAGGAGACCTTGATGGTATAATACGGATTAAGCAGAATGGAATAATCCTATATAATAAAGAGGTAATATGCAAATCGACCCTCACAAGATGGCTGCCTATGACCAAACCGGCAGGGGGGTTAGTGATGGATGACCATACGACTGAAATGACTGAATAAGCAGGCTGCGTGGGGCAAACAAGCCAGCAGTGGGGTTAGTGAGGGATGACCAAATGACTGAACAGCAGGCTGTGTGGGGTCACCAGGCTGGCAGGGGGGGTAGTTAGGGGTGACCAGGCCAGCAGAGAGGGGCAGTTGGCAGTGACCAGGCCAGCAGGGGTCAGAGGCCAGCAGGGGGGGGGGGTAAAGTTGGGGATGACCAGGCTGGCAAGGGGGTGAGTTGGGGGCAATTAGGCTGGCAGTGGGGGGGCAATGAGGGGCGACTAAGCCAGCAGGGAGGACAATCGGGGATGATCAGGCCAGCTGAGGGGGGCAGTTGGGGGAAACCAGGCTTGTAGAGGGGGCAGTAAGAGGTAACCAGACTGGCAGGGGGTGGAAGTTAGGAGTGGCCAGGCTGGCAAGGATGGGGCAGTGGGGGCTACCTGGCCGGCAAGTGGGGGCAGTTAGGGGCAACCAGGCATGCAGGCAGGTGAGCGATTAAGAGCCAGCAGTCCAGGATTGTGAGAGGGATGTCCAACTGCTGGTTTAGGACAACCCCCAAGGAGTCCTGGATTGGAGAGGGTGCAGGCTGGGCAGAGTGCCCCCCCTATGCACAAATTTTGTGCACCGGGCCTCTATATAATAAAAGGCTAATATTCAAATTGACTGAACAGTGGAATGACCAGACACTATGATGCACGCTGACCAACATGGGGCAGATGCTCAAAGCAGGAGTTGTCTCCTGGTGGTCAGTGTGCTCCCATAGGGGAGCATTGCTCAGCTGGAAGCTAAGCTCACGGCCAGGAGACTCCCGCCTCCGCAGCAGCGCTAAGGATGTCCAAATGATGGCTTAGGCCCGCTCCCCGTGGACATCCCCCAAGGGCTTCCAGTCTGCAAGAGGCCACAGGCCAAGCTGAAGGATCCCCCCACACCCAAGTACATGAATTTCGTGCACCGGCCCTCTAGTTTAAGAATAAGAGTATCTTATGGATTCCAAGGGCAGAAATTGTAGCTAGTCTTTGAGAAGGATCTGCAACCAGAACTGGAGCCCTCAGGAATCTCTCTGTCATAGCTCCTCTCTTCTTTTTCCTAAGTGTTTATTCTTTTCTCCTTTCAGACCAGCCCCCTCTGCTTCATATTTCACATAATAGAAATAGCCCCTGGCAGCTTCTGATGTGTTATGGGTCAGCACATAAAAAGAGTCTGTCTTTCATGTGCTTTATTAACCTTTCTGACTCACACAGCTAGGGAGATAAGGAGAGACAACCAATTAAATTAGGTAGTGGCCAAATTTAAAGTTTTTTAAATTCTACTTATTCAGCAGAGTTAAAGATAGCCATGTGTATTGTATGTGAAAAAGCCTAGAGTGGATTTTTGACTTCACTATATTGTATTGCTTCAGTTATGTATGACATTGCTCATGTTAACAGAAAATAATGCATGAGCAGCCAATAGAATAGAAAGTACTTGGTTGTGTGACCATTGGTCCGGTTTTTTATTAATATTTCTTCAGCATGACCAAGGTCTGGTTAGATTTCTGGAGATAGTCTCCCAAACTAGGATTTGTGTATGTTATAATTTTTCCGTTAATTTACACCACTGATTTTTCTCTGGGAATTCACATAATCTCCCTGGATCATAATTTTCACATCTGTCAATATAAGAAATTGCTAGAATATAAGAAAACAGATTATATCCTCAAAGTGAAAAAGTCTTCACTTCCTAGCAGTAGCTTTCTCTTCCACCATCAGGCTCCTTAGACTCAGTTATTATTGTTAAGCTGTGTTTGTAGATATATTAGTAGAGTTCTTAGTAAATTATTATGTGTAATAATTTGTAAATTCCTTTTGCAGAAAGTTTTAGGGTTCATTTCTCTTGCTCCATTATGTACTTATTCAGATTTCAGAGAATGATAATAGGTCAAGATTTAATATTTAGATATATAAAATTTAATACTTTTATTTTTATATGTCAACATCTTAAAGAACTGTGATATCTAGATTCATTGAATTATACTTAGAATATTTTGTGTTTTTTGAACTGTAGTTTTTCAAACCAGGTAGTTTTTACATTGGATTTTTAGGTGCCTCTGGGATTTAGGTAGACAAGTGATGTAAGGGTTTGGCCTCCTATCTGCACTTCAGCTAGAAGTCTTTTTTTTTTTTTTTTTTATATGGAACGCTTTACGAATTTGCGTGTCATCCTTGCGCAGGGGCCATGCTAATCTTCTCTGTATCATCCCAATTTTAGTATATGTGCTGCCGAAGTGAGCACAGCTAGAAGTCTTTTTAAAAATATTTCTTTAAGTTCTTCTGTTTGGGGAGAAAACAAAAGTTTAAATATGTAATCTAGCTCATTCATTTACCATTTTACTGCCTATTACTTTCTAGACACTCTATATACAAAGATGGGGTAAGCATTGATCAGTGGTTTTGTTTTAGCAAAAAATCAAACTGAGAAAGATTTATTTTTAAATTTTGCTTTAGAATTATGCATAATCTCTATAAAGATGCTTATTGCACTAGTGATTTTAATGAAACATGTAAAGACCAGAATTTTGTTAGATCTATATTTTACATCTTTTTTTCTTGTATAAAGAAATGTTTTCATAATGCTGTGAAATAACTAACATGTTTTACTTTTTAGTCTTTTTTTAAATACTTTTTTCTGTGCTTCTAGAATGAAAGACTAAAGAAACTTTGTTCTGATCTAGAAGAAAAGCATGAAGCTTCTGAGCTTCAAATAAAGCACCAATCTACCAGTTATCGAAATGAACTACAACAGAAAGAGGTAAAGGTTATCACAGTTACTTCATACTTACTTCACTGAGCAGTATTGAGGAAGTTTTTAAGAGCTGTAATATAAATCAAGCTGTATTTAGATTTATAAAAATATTGAAAGGTGTTGAAGTTAATAATTACCAATTCAGTTATTAATTTAATAAGAATTCTGTAAGCTTTTTTATTATGTTTATGTTACATAAACTAACTTTTGTGGAGTTTAATTTCTGCTTTCCAAAAAGAGGAAAAGTCCTATCTATAGAAATAAAAGCATAATATGCTAATTAGACCAGACAACCTTCCGGAGGAAGCTGGGGCTGCGAGAGAAGTTGAGGTCCCGGGTGCCTGACAGCAGCCGGAGGGAAGCTGGTGCTGGCAGCTGGGGGAACGAACACCAACTCTTGTACAAATTTTGTGCATGGGGCCTCTAGTGTAAAATATCTTTAGGCATCTGTTGCTTATAATTTTACATTTTATGAAACTTAATTTCTTATTTATTTACTTAAAATTGTTTGAAATCTGTGATCATTGCTCATTTTAACTACAAGTGTTAATATATGCTATGTTGACATTTACTTGATTTTCCATGGAAAAACATAATATTAAGTATTTCATAGTTGACTTAGACTGTTCTATAATTTTTTTTCTCCTTTAGTTTGATAGGGGCTCATGGCTGCCTGAGCCCACGGCTGCCTGAGCTCCAGGCCTCGCAGCCACAGTGGCTTTGTCTGGATGGATGTCCAGAAGATGTCCGCCCTAATTAGCATATTACCCTTTTATTAGTATAGATAACCGATGTTATCATGAATCCTTAAAATATGGACTATGTCTCTATGTTTCATTCTGTTGTTGAATTCTCTTTAGTGTTCAGAACATAACTAGAATTCAGTAAGCACTTCTATTGAATAGAACCATATCTTGTTTCATTATCCAGATCATGTGGGTATTCTTCATTTTGTTGATTAAATGTTCATTTCTACCATAAATTCTTATTTGGGTTTTTTAAATTTAGATGCACTGATTTCTAGTTCTTTTAGTGACACATTAAGATGAAAAATTAAAGCAAACCACGTTAAAGATAAATACAACCATTTAAAGAAGAGCTTAATTTCCAGTCTGTTGGGAATTTATTTCATAAAGTAGAATAGAATGAATTACTACAAAAATGAATATAAAAAGGCATAACTACAAGTTCAAATTAAAAACCCACCTTATTTTAAAAGGCTCAACAGATATAAAATTACTGTGTCAAATTGCTTTAAAAGTCTTTACCGGTAAAGACTTTTATGTAAAATACGGTAAAGCCTTACTCTTTGAATTTCTGTACTTTTCATGGGCAGGTAGCAAACATTTATGGTATCAGTCCACACACCACTCTTTGAGTAGCACTGACTTACAGATATTACAGTAGTTTACATCCAGGGGTTTATAGCTGAATCATAAGTGACACTTAAAAAAAATACATAGGTTCATGTTTCCCAGGAGATTCTAGAGTGGCATACTGGGAAGAGTTTTGGTATTTTTTTGAAAATTCATAGGTGGTTTCATTGAAAACACCACTGTGGAAAACTCTGGCATTTTATATTCTACTTAACTATTGATATTAAACACCCAAATTAAGCATTCAAGTTTAGAAATGCCTTTGTTATAACTAGAGTTTACACTTATTAACTCTACAACTTGATATAAATGTCTCTTGTATAATGAGAACTTTCTTTGTATTATAGCTACATTTGAAAAAATAGTGCATTTTAGTACTCTTTACCAGAATGAAAGATAATACATAAACATACTTTCGCAGAATCTATTTGCTGTCCTCACTGTGATGTTCATATTCCTTAAAGTTGCAATTTGCCTCGTACTGTATATGGGAAAGTGAATGAAATCTGTGCACTACTATTAAAACCTCCAGTAGAAAAGGAACTCTGATGTGCAAAACATGTTTGTTGTGACATTTGACGTAGTTGTGTTTGGTGTTTGTTTGTCTAGTTGGTTGATGTTACACGGGTAGAAATACTATATTAGTTGTTGGTTTGTCTTTTCAGTTTTTCTTAATTGTGGAGGGGGTGTCTTCTGGATTAACTTGAATATTTTAGGAAGCATATTTCAGATCTCTCTAGCTTCTATGTTTTGTCTCAAGTGGATGTGACATTATGGTTAAGTCCTGTGTTCATAATTTCTTTTGAATAATGATACTCTGCTCAGGGTTTTAGAATCTTTATTATGTTATCTCCCTGAGTAGAGTCAAATTTTCACTGGCCTCTCTTTGCCAAGACTAAAGCCAAGCCCTCTGTCAATGAACAATTTCCTTCTAAGACTTATGAGCCAGTAACTACAGTCTCACTGTGTTATCTGAAAAGACTGGATTAATAAATCAAAGCATTTCTCCTGATAGCAGTGTACAGACCACAACAATATTCCTGATTCATGATGCATTTTAAGCCTAAATCCAGCCATAACCAGTTAGTAAGACTCTTCCACCAATTGTTCTCAAGAAACTTTCCAATGCATAGGCTGACACAGCTTTTACTTCCTCTGAGGAGTTACCTGGTATCTTACCTGATACATAGAAGCTAGTAAATCCTTGTTTAACTGAGAAATACCATTGCTTTAGTTACCATATGAGTGAAACATTATCTATATTTTAACTATGATAATTATGTTTGCTTTTAAATAAAAATGTATGGTTGGGATGTTATTAAAAACTTAGATTCAGTTGATAGCATACAATTATTGGATAATGTTAAATTATTATGACTTTTAATTTTATTAATCTGGAATATCGTTATTTTAAAGTACCTTCTCTAAAATACGGATTATAAATATATAGGTGGAAATCAGTCATCTTAAAGCAAGACAGATTGCACTACAGGACCAATTGCTAAAGCTGCAGTCCGCTGCCCAGTCTGTAAATTCAGGAGCTGGCAGTGTGCCCACAACCACTGCATCATCATCATTCAATTATGGTATCAGCCATCATGCTGCCGCTTTCCACGATGATGACATGGACTTTGGTGATGTAATTTCATCTCAACAAGAAATAAACAGATTGTCAAATGAAATTTCAAGGCTTGAATCTGAAGTTGCACATTGGAGGCATATTGCTCAGGTAGGTAAACTTTTCATGAATTTTTAGAGACTGTTAAGTGAGTAAAAATACGGGTGCTGTGTAGAGATTTCATTATAGAACTATGGACCAGGAAATGGAAACTTGTATTCTAATTCTGCCTATAACTTTCTAAGTTATTTTAATCAGGTCATCTTTCTCTCTCAGCCCCTTCTGCACAATATTGGGAAGAAATTTTCAAAATAAAAGTGAAGTTGCTGTGGTTGAACCAGCATCTTTTTCCCTGGAGTTCCTACGGCTTTGCTGCTGGAAATCAGGGCTCCAAGGCACGAGATTTGAATCTACTTGCTTAGATATTGTCTGAGGTTTCTGTTTGCATTAATTATATGTAAAATGAAAATCTGATAATTGGCATTATAAATTTTTAAAACTATTCTGTGTTGTTTCTCATGAATAAGAAATCAAATACTTGCTATTTTGGGCTGTAAACTTTCTTGCTTTTTTGTCTTACATATCAGATTTTATATGTACTACCAAGGCTGTCAGTAGACATGAGATTCAAAATATACTGGGACAAAAAAATATACTGGCATATTGTTCATACGGATTTAATTCATGAGTGTATAAAAAAATGAAGTATTTTCTGTCTTTTTGTCAGTGTAATCTAATTATGTAAAGGAGAAATCCTCCCAATTAAAATTATTTCCTGCTTCCCAAGTTGCTGGACATTTCTAATATTCTAAGTAAATCTGGAGAGAATGATCCTTCTGTCCATCTTATCTCTAAAAAGTAGTAATTCTTAAACTTTGTTCATGTAAGAATAACCTGGGGAACTTGGAGATTCCCTGCCCTCCCTTAAGAGATTAGGATTTTGTAGCCTGTTTTGGGGTGTTGAAAACTGCATTCAAACAAATAAATCATCAGGTGATTCTGATAATTTAGTAAAACATTTTAAGAAACATTAGTTAGGGTAAGATTTCATAAAGAGATGGATTTTTTGTATGTTTACTTAAGCATACTATGACAGACCTGTATTGGGATGTAAAGGTGAAAAGGACATAATTGGGACCATTCAGGAAACTTAATTTTCTAGCAAGACATAATAAAAGTTAATATTTGTATTATACTTTATAAGATGTTTCCATATATACTACCCCAGTATATGTTATATTATCCTCAATAGGTATGTGAGGAATTTATTGTTTCATTGAAGAGCAAAGTAAAAGTTTAAGTAATATACCCACTATCACAGTGATTAAGTTGTGATTCAAAACATGTCTTTCTACTTTTCTACTCCAACCCTAAGTTCTTTCTATTATACTGTGTTCTTTCTTTAAAAAAAAAAAAAAAAAAGATTTTCTTTTATTGATTTTTAGAGAGAGAGGAAGGGGAAGAGAGAGAGACATTGATCAACTGCTTCCTGTACACTCCCTACCAGGGATTAAGCCCTCAACCTGAGTATGTGCCCTGACTAATAATCGAACTGGCAAACTTTCGGTGCACAGGATGACACCAACCAACTGAGCCACACCAGCCAGGGGTTCTGTGTTCACTTTTTTTAGCCAGAGATCAATGTTTGGTTCCTTAACACATTTTATAGTAAATGATAATAGAGGTAAATGAACAAGCTTTGAATAAGAAGAATCCAAGTTATTTTATTTACTTGTCACAACAAAGGTTATTCTGTATTGGAGTCTTCTGGATGAAATCCTTTTAAAATATTTTTGTTGTTATTATTAGCATTCATTTTAGAAATTACCTTTTAAGACACTGATATAATGTTGGACAAAGTCCTAAAGAATGAGTAAATGACTAGCTCTGCTCATCTGCCAGAAATTTGCATTAATTCTGCAAAAATGGAAAGGTCCTTTTGCCTTTGTGGTAAAAAGTTATACAGAGACTTCTTAATATACTTTTTTTTAAATAAGTAGAATATTACGTGGTGTTTTCCTTATTTTATAAAACTGTTATCTCCCCTATTAGTTATCATACTTATAAATGGCATCTTTTTACTTATTGTGTTTTACTCACTAGTTTTCTTAAAAGATACTTGGCATTTTAAAACCAAAATTTGTCTTGGAAATGCCACATTTTTTAAAAGTATCTTTTAATAAAATTAGTCTGTGATTTTCCTTTTTATAAGAAAATTAATATAATTTTCGAATTCTGTTTTTCTGATCTAGATTTCTAAAGCACAAGGATCAAGCAGCTCGGATCAAAGTGAAATTTGCAAACTGCAAAATATAATTAAGGTAAGGCAGATTGTTGGAACAATGGCTAGTATGCATTTAAAATTTGCTTATGAAAATCATAAGCCTAAATTAATAAAAGTTGTAAAAGTAACCATACAAATTATGGTCTTTATTTCTTTTTACCATTTTGTATCTTCTTTAGTGTTGATGACGAGTCAGGTATATCTCTACAAAATCATTTGTTTTGAACATTTATTAAGTAGTCTATATTCTGTGTTTGTTTCCTATTGCATTTCACAAAATGGTCTTTATTAAAATAGAATTCTAAGGTTGCTGAAGTTTCAAGGTTTAGGGTTAAAGGACATTGATAAAATAAAATGCTAATATTATTCATTACAAATAATTATTTTCTTTTAATGGTAGAATTTTGCTAGTTTGGTCAGTTTTGGGTTTTATTATTATTACAATACTAGTGTGGGTGGGTTCCTGAGTCAAACCTGTGTTTGAATCCAGGCTCTACTATTTACAAGATGTGCTTCTTTGGGAAACTTCTGTTTTGTTATCAGTAAAGTAGATGTCATCATAATACCTCGTTTGTAGAATTGTTTTGAAATGTAAGTGTAAAGCTCTTTGCCTAGTGCTGGGATGTAAGTATTGAGGAATAAAGAATAAGTTCACTTGTCTTCTGAGGAAATAGAAGATAATTTATAGATTAGGATTCTTCATTACAAGCAGCAAAAACCATCTCTGGCTAAATAAAGCAAAAGAGGATTGATTGATTGGATTGCTTGATTGGAAGGACCCTGGGTAGTTTGATGATAGGATTGAAGGAAGAGTTGAGCATTTTGGCCTCCAAAAAGACAGGAATGGGAACAGCATTGAGGATCTAAGTAGTGGGGCACAGTGGACAGATTCTTCAAGGTGCAGCTATCATAATGCTTCTGGCTTAAGCAATTTCCCTTTTTGAGAGACTCAGCCCAAGATCTAGTTTCCTAGCAGAGAGAGTGATGGTCTCAACTTGGGTAGTAGCAAGGCATCTTGGTTGACTGTTTGTGAGTCCCAGCAAGCCTGGAAGGAAAAACAGCAGGAGAATGGAATAATAGGACAACAGTCATACATTAGCTAGAAGGTTGAGACTGATATTAGTGGAATATCATTAACAGAAGTTCATGGTCACAGATGCTAAGGAAAAAAGATATTTTTGCTCACTTTGTTTCAGGTTTTTCTTATTGGTATGCCCTCATTAAAAGTAGAAAAACTGTTTTTAAGGCTCAAGCGAGGAAAGGGTGGGTGGAGTCTCAGAATTGTCCAAATGTTGGGCATGTGTTTAAATACTTTTCAGCCTTAATACTTTTGGAGAATTGTTTTTAATAATAGAGACTTTTGGGCAAAAATGAAATAGCTTAGATGAGTTCATTGATTATTAAAGTGGTTGACTTTGTTTTTATTTTTTTAAGGAACTTAAACAGAACCGAAGTCAGGAAATAGATGATCATCAACATGAAATGTCAGTATTACAGAATGCACATCAACAGAAATTGGCAGAAATAACGCGTCGGCATCGAGAAGAATTAAGTGAATATGAAGAACGAATTGAAGAACTGGAAAATCTGTTACAACAAGGTTATTAATTTAACATATTAGCTGGCATAATTAAATGACAAGCCTAGCACTGTAAGACACTGATGTAAAGTTGGACAAAGTTCTAAAGAATGAGTAAATGACTAGTTCTGCTCCTCAGCCAGAAATTTGTACTGGCACTCCTATTGTCATGGTTCTGCAAAAGTGGAAAAAATTATAATACGGAGACTCTTGCATTATTTGGTGTATTTCCCTTTCTTTCAAATTCACATACATAGACTTTTTAGTATTTTACTCAAATAATATCTTTCCTCAACTATTTTAAAATGCTTTACTTACTGTAGTTATTTAACTTTTCTTAGACTTGATTTCTTTAGAGCATTTTTAGATTTACAACAATATTGAGAAGGAGGTACAGAGATATCCCTTATACTCTCTGCCTCCACCCCTACTCCCACCCCTATGCATATTCTCTACTACCATCAACCTCACTCAGAAGGATGGCACTTTTTTTTTTTTTTTTTTTTTTAACCAAGGAAAAAACTACATTGACACATCATAGTTGCCCAAAATCCATAGTTTACTTGAGGGTTCATTCTTAGTGTTGTACATTGTATGATTTGGACAAATGTATAATGACATGTATCCATCATTGTAATGATGTCATACAAAGTATGTTGTACAAAGTATTTTTACTGCCCTAAAACTCTGCCTATTCTTCATCCTCTTTTTCCCCTGCAACTGATCTTTTTATTGCCTCCATAGTTTTGTCTATTCCAGAATTGTTATTATAGTTGGAATTGTATAGCCTTTTCAGATTGTCTTCTTTCACTTCTTTCATGTGATCCGGTTGTTATGCGATTGGTTATTACGCTTCACGATGTAACGATCATTTGCATATTACATTTTTATTATATAGGATTGGTATATTTTTTGTTTTTGACTTTATGTTTATGTTCCAGGTGGCTCAGGAATTGCGGTAACTGATTACCCTAAAATCCATGAGATGCAAAGAACTATTCAAGTTCTACAAACTGAAAAAGTAGAGTCTGCAAAAAAAATAGAAGAACTTGAGAAACAAATAAAAGATATAAGTAAAAAATTATCGTCTTCAGAAAATGACAGAGAAGTTTTGAGGAAGGAACAAGAACGACTAAATGTAGAAAACAGGCAAATAAGTAAAGAATGTGAAAGCTTGAAACTGGAATGTAGTAAATTGCAGCCTTATGCTATGAAGCAAAGTGACGCTGTGAAGGAAGAGGAAAGCATTCTTCCACAGAGCACATCACTGGAAGAAGAGGTGTTCAGACTACAGCAGGCACTGTCTGGTATAAAACGTTTGGAACCTATTCCTGATTGGTGCTTCATTGCATACTACCCTGTTTCCCCGAAAATAAGACAGTGTCTTATATTAATTTTTTCTCCCAAAGTTGTGCTTGGTCTTATTTTCAGGGGATGTCTTATCTTCCCATGCATTAGGTCTTATTTTCAGAGGATGTCTTATTTTCGCGGAAACACGGTAGTTGTTTTAGAGACACTTTGTATAGCTGGGTACTTTGTGGAAATGAAATATTTGTGAAAATGACTGGAATTTGAATAGAATTGTTTGGTTTAGATTAAGTGTCATAATAGATTACAAATAGGAATTTTCTACTAAAAAGAGTTAAGTGTTGTTTAGGTGACTCTTAACTTCTGTTCCTCATCTTTTAAGTATTTGCATGAAACATTGATTTAGGAGGCCATGTATAGACATTTGTTTGAGGGAGAAGTGGTCCTATTTCTGTTAATTTCTAAAGAACCAAATATTTCCTATAACTTACTAGGGCTCAGACCCTCCAGTTAGGGAATTTAACCTTCCTTCTTCAAAATCTTGTGTTACCTTTCCAAATGATCTCCTAAATCTAAGCAAGCCTGAGAATGATAGGAGCCATAGGTCTTCCATAGTTGTCCATACTCAAGGTGATATTTAGTTACCATACCAGTGTTCTGTGTTACAAAAAATAAGTATTAAATGAATTAGGCCAAGCAGCAGTACTCAATTCATGCAAGGAAAACAGAACAGGAGCTCTTCGGGCTGAAAAGATGCATCTTATTTTCCACTGTGTCCTCTTCTCACAATAAACTCTGACTATATGAACTCATTCATTCCTGCTCTGGAGGTTTCTAGCCTTGTGTGTTTGTGAGTGCCCCTCCTCCCCTCACCCTCCTGGCGCCCTTCCTTCTCCCCACCCTCCCACACACACCATCTAGTTTAGGGGTGTCGAACTCAAGCAGAGAAGGGGCCAAAATCTAAAATCCAGCCTAAATCGCGGGCCGAATGGTTTACTGAACAGTCATAAACTGTCATTGTGATGGAAACGCAGCGGAGTGCAGTGATGACAGCGCGGTGCGGGCCACATTGCAAGGCCTGGCGGGACGGATTTGGCCCGCGGGCCTTGTGTTTGACACATGTGATCTAGTTGTTTGTCATGAATTCTTGACCGGAGTGCCAAGTCTATAAATTTGAATTTAAGTTAGGTTCAAAGTGAAATCTCCATGTTCTCCTCTCTCCTTTTCCTACCTTGGTAATTGCCAGCATTTATCAGTCTCCCAAAACAGAAAATTTGAACTTATCCCTTAGAAAGTTCTGTAAGTTCTTTGTACTTCAGTATTGTTTCCCAGGTGAGCTGTAGGGTTTCTCATAGGTACTTTAGTCCTGGGAGCTGCCCATGAAGGCAAAGGGAAAGCTGTGCAAGTTAGATTCTGGACATCTTTCTCATTTGACTTCAAAGTAGCTCAGCTCTTTTGAAAATAAATGTATTTAATGTATTGGATGACCCTTATGAGTTTATTTGCTTTAAAACAAACTTATTGCCCTAGGCCCGTGGTCAGCAAACTGCAGCTCGCAAACTCATTGCAAGACCCGTGGACTCACAGGCAAGGTCTGCAGTCCTCACAGTTGGTCTTCAGAGGTGGCCTCATGGGGCAGGTCTATATATTGACTGGAAGAGCCACAGGAGAGATGTGCTGGGTAGCATTGCTAGTTGGTGTCTGTCAGAGAGAGCACTGCTTGGAGCAGATCCTCATGGCAGCAGGCTGGTAATGCTACCAGGGAGATGAGGACATCACTAAGCTCCTATTGGAAGGATTCCACAGAAAGCTCTGTGAGTTCCTCCACGTCCCCAGCCAAGGCCAGGAGGAGCTTCTGAGGCTGGTGGACCTGGTCTGTCTCTTTCAGCAGCAAACGACATGGAGGCAGTACATGTTCTCGAGCATGGGCTCCGGGCTGAAGCTGAAGAGACCAGCAGCATCGGTGCCCTCTCCCCAGGTCCCCACGCTTCTCCCCACCCACAGTGGACATGCACCCACTGCACTGCAGCCCAGACTGCTCTGAAGAACCCTGTGCCCAGCTTGGAGCCTGTCTCAACAATTTTGTTTGTTTGTTTGTTTGCAGCCAGAATGATTTTTCAGAAATGCAAAGCAGGTTACATTCCTGACTAGTACTCTGTGGCCCCCTGTGAAACTTCTTGATCAGACGAGTAATATCTTAATGATCTGTTCCTTGTCTGCCTCCTCAGTTTCAACTCTTCCTATTTTACCTTTCTAAGCTTGAGTCATGTTTAGCTTTCTGTATGGCTCCTTAAGCTGGCAATGTTGTCTCTTAGCTCTGTTGTCTTTGCATTTACTGTTTTCTCTGTGTAATGTCTCTTTTCACTCCTCCTTATTTGCATATTAACATTCAACACAGGTCTTGTATTCACTCTGAGGCATTTGCGCAGCTGCTTCCCTGGCCCCACGTGCCACCCCACCCCACCCATTCTTCTGGATTAGGAGTTTGCCCTGTTTGGCCTAATAGAACCTTGTGCTCCCTGTATCACACTGTACTGTAATCATGTGCTTACTTTTCTTTAAAAAATATATATTTTATTGATTTTTTACAGAGAGGGAGGGAGAGGGATAGAAAGTGAGAAACACTGATCAACTGCCTCCTGCACAACCCCTACTGGGGATATGCCCATAACCAAGGTACATGCTTTGACCGGAATCAAACCTGAGACCCTTCTTTAGTCAGTAGGCTGATACTCTATCCACTGAGCTAAACGGATTAGGGCATGTGCTTACTTTTCTTCCCCTCTGAATTGTAAGCTCCTTAAGAGCTACAAAGACTAAATTTTTCCATTTTGTGGTCTAGCAGCTGACATCATAGTAAATGTACAGTATTTCCTATATGAACATTGAATGAATTACTTCAGCTAAAGTCATGGTATTCTGTATTTGTGTTCTAAAACCCCTCTGTTTATGTATCTATCCGGAATACCAGATTGAATGATCTTTTCATTAGTAGTCATGTCTAAGACACTTGAGAGAATTGATAGATTGTATATTGTTGTATAAATATACATTTGTGTTTTAAGCCCTTCCCCCTCTTGGTCTTAGTCCTTATGCTATTTACTGTTACACAAACTAATCAGCTCACTTTGAAACAGTTGTTAATGTTTTTATCAAGGCAATAAATATGACTCACTCAGAAATACAATTATAATTTTTTTCTTATATTGTTTCATAGAATTGGATTTTAACATAGTTTATTCCTGGCATTTATATTATGGCTTCTTTGGAATAGTCAAAATAAAAACAAATAACAAACATATATTTAACTCTAAGGGCTTGCTAATTGTGCTTATAAATATATTTTAATTGGGTTTCACTTCTGAATTGAATTTTAGGATGGAATTATGAAGTTATTTTAAAGAATTCTAATGTCAGATCTACTGTTTTCACAGATGCTGAAAGTGAAATAACAAGACTGAGTCATTTAAACCAGGTAAATAAATTTTAAGAGAGAAAGCTTTTATTGGTTTACCCAGAAAAACCATTACAGTTGCTTATTCTGTGTGTGTTTTTAAATATATTTTTATTGATTTCAGAGAGGAAAGAAGAGAGGGAGAAAAAAGAGAGAAAGAAACCGAGAAACGTCAAGGATGAGAGAGAATCATTGATTGGCTGCCTCCTGCACACCCCTAACTGGGGATCAAGCACACAAGCCGGGCATGTGCCCTGACCAGGAATCCAACCATGATCTCCTGGTTCATAGGTCGATGCTCAACCTCTGAGTCACACTAGCCAGGCTGTTGGGTTTTTTTGTTTGTTTGTTTGTTTTTTAGTAAATTCATGTGAACTTATCCTAGGAACTTTTTCTTAGGAATTTTATGCTTGCTGATTAGTAACAAACTTTTTGTATTATAAATTGACAATTTAAAAAATTCCGTAATTGAAAAGTTATAGTATATCTCTTTGAATATTAATTAGACAAACGTTATATTTGTAGAGACAGATCCTCTACCAAAATGAGAAATGCATTTTGGTTTTCCTTTATGATATTTAAGGAGTTGTTTCTTTTTCTGATGATTACAGGCTATTTTGTAAATGAATTTGTATATTTTTTCAAATACAATAAAGAAATTCTCTCTACAAATGTCTGTTAAATGAGTATGGGCTTTTTAGATGGTTCAGTGCTGTGTGCTTGTAATTTTTATGCCGCTAAAGATATGCAGAATACAAATGTCCAATTGTATAGCTTGCCTGCTTTCTTATAAACTCAAAATTTCCTGTTATCTGAAAATTGTTTTTAACATGTTTACAGGATAATCTCACTGAAGACAATCTGGAACTTAAAATGCGTGTTCAAGTTTTAGAAAAAGAGAATTCATTATTGATTCAAGAAAAGGTGGGTGCAATAAAAATGGGGGCAGAATTAAAATGGTATGTATATTATATATCGATCAGGGCTAAGAGCCAGTTTATATCAAAATAAGTGTTTAGTTCTGAAGGTACAGCTGATCTCATCCATGCTTGTCAGGCCAGGTTGAAGTACTGGGCAAGGTTCAGCGTATGATCCTGGTAGAGTTTCTGGTTAGAGATAAACCAGTAGGCGTACAGATATGAGCAGAAAAGAAAGGTAAAGGTTCTTTGGTTTCAGATGAAGTCCTGACAGCAACATATACAGGTGGGTCAGGAGCCTGGAGTGGCATACTGTAGTAACTATATGTACTGCTTATATGCCCCAGAATGTGTGTAGTGTGGTGGACAGGAATTTTTAAGTGGTGAGGGGTAAATAGGGACATTCTCAGTGGTAGAAATAGGGTCTCTTGTTTATATTGGTAGCAAGGATAGAGTGAGATTTTGTAATGTTATGTTGGGTTTTGTTTATAATTTTTAATCTTTTAGTGTCTCTTCTTCCAATTGATAGTATGTGTTGTGTTTTTCCCCTTTTATCATTTAAGGAAGAGCTTCACTTATCACTTTTAAAATTAAACAATGAATATGAAGAAATTAAAAGTACAACTGTGAGAGACATGGATTTGGATTCAAAATTACATGACTTAAGACTTAATTTGGAGGCAAAGGAACAAGAGCTCAATCAGAGTATTATCGAAAAGGAAGTACTGATAGCTGAGTTAGAAGAACTGGATAAGCAGAACCAAGAAGCTACAAAGGTAATAAGTACCATATTAAAGACGGTGTGGTAGCACATTCTAGCCAGTAGACTGAACATCAGATTCACAAGCAGGGTGAATGGTGTGATTTAATTTTGTTTTAATATTTTAGTTCATGCTGTAGTCATAGAGGTTGGCAAACTTTTTCTGTAAAGTGTTAGTAAATGTTTTGGCTCTCCAAGCCATGTAGTCTAAGTTGCGTCTGCTCAACTCTGTTGTCATTATATGTAAACAAGTGAGCCTGACTGTTTCAATTAAAACTTTATTTATAAAAACAGGTGGAAGGCCTGATTTGCCCCATTGGCTGCTGGTGTGTTGACTCCTGCACAGTGTTTAAAGTTGAAAATAAATAACATATATCTTTTATCTTCTTTAGTTTTAAGTTCTAATTTCTAAAATAATAAAATGCTATAAAATATTAGTAATTTTGTTGGTTTTTAAAAAATATTTTATTGATTTTTTTATAGAGAGGAAGGAAGAGGGATAGAGAGTTAGAAACATCGATGAGAGAGAAACATCCATCAGCTGCCTCCTGCAACCAAGGCACAAGCCTTTGACCAGAATCTAACCTGGACCCTTCAGTCCGAAAGCCAACACTCTATCCACTGAGCCAAACCTGTCAGGGCTTTGTTGTTGTTTTTTAAAAGAGTTTTAAGAAGGATTAGAGCCTGGCTGGGATGGCTCAATGGTTGCGCATTGACCTATGAACCAGGAGGTCACAGTTCGATTCCCAGTCAGGGCACTCGTCAGAATTGTAGGTTCTATCACCAGTGCAGAAAGCAGCTAATCAATGATTCTCATCATTGATGTTTCTATCTGTCTCTTTCCCTTCCTCTCTCTGAAATCAATAAAAACATTTTTTCTCAAAAAAGATTATAAATAAATAGCTGTAACCGGTTTGGCTCAGTGGATAGAGTGTCGGCCTATGGACTAAAAGGTCCCAGGTTCGATTCCAGTCAAGGGCATGTACCCAGTTGGGGATGTGCAGGAGGCAGCTGATCGTTGTTTCTTTCTCATCGATATTTCTAACTCTCTATCCCTCTATCTTCCTCTCTGAAAAATCAATAAAATATATATATTTTAAAAAGATTAGAAATAATGAGAATTATTATTCTATTGTATATGACATTTTATAAAATTGCCTTTAGGTACTAAAGTGAGAATGTTTTAAAGTTAATATGCAAATTAATTTTTTTTTTTTTTGCAGCACATGATTTTGATAAAAGATCAGCTATCAAAACAGCAAAATGAGGGAGATAGCATCATCAATAAACTAAAAATAGACCTAAATGATGAAAAAAAGAGAGTTCATCAACTTGAAGATGATAAAATGAACATTACTACAGAGTTAGACGTACAGAAAGAAAAGTTAATTCAAAGTGAACTGGTCCTAAATGACTTGAATTTAACCAAGCAAGAGCTAGAGGATAAAATAGAAGATTTAGTAGATCAACTGAATAAATCACAAAACAATAATTTAAATATCCAGAAGGAGAACTTTGAGCTTAAGGAACATATTAAACAAAAGGAGGAGGAACTTTCTAGAGTCAGATGTGAAATAACTCAGCCTCTTAATCAAGACTCTAACAGTAATCTTAAGGATGACTTACTTAAAGAAAGAGAAGCTGACATCAGAAACTTAAAGCAAAATCTTTCAGAAGTAGAACAGCTCAATGAAAATTTAAAGAAAGCTTCTTTTGATCTCAAAATGGAAAATGAAAAGTTGGTTTTAGCATGTAAAGACTTAAGACTTCAGTTGGAAGAATCTATTGCTGGTAACAATCAGATTTCTCTAGAAAAAAACACCATTTTGGAGAGACTAAAAACGGAAAAAGGACAGTTAGAAGCAGAATTGTGTCGGGCTGAAAAGAGGCTGTTGGAAGAAGCAAACAAGTATGAGCAGACCATTGAAGAACTGTCAAATGCACGGAACTTGAGTGCCTCTACTTTACAGCTGGAACATGAGCGCTTAATTAAGCTCAGTCAAGAGAAAGACTTGGAAATCGCAGAACTCAAGAAGAATATTGAGCAGATAGGTATTGATCATACAGAGACTAAGAACATTTTGTCATCTAGTTTAGAAGAGAGGAAGCAATTAACACAACTTATTAATGAGAAAGAAGTTTTTATTGAAAGACTTAAAGAGAGAAGTTCAGAGCTCCAGGATGAGTTAGATAAATATACTGAAGCCTTAAGAAAAAATGAAATTTTGAAGCAAACCATAGAAGAGAAAGACAGACATCTTGGATCCATGAAAGAAGAAAATAATCACCTAAAAGAAGAACTGGAACGACTCAGGGAACAGCAGAGTCGAGCTGCACCAGTGGCTGAGCCTAAAACCCTTGACTGTATTACGGAACTTGAATCTGAGATATCTCAATTGAATATAATAAAGGATAATCTTGAAGAGGAAATAAAACAGCACCGAAAGATAATTGAAGATCAAAACCAGAGTAAAATGCAACTGCTTCAATCTTTACAAGAGCGTAAGAAGGAAATGGATGAGTTTAAATACCAGCATGAGCAAATGAATGTCACGCACACCCAACTCGTATTAGAGAAAGATGAGGAAATTAAGACTTTACAAAAAACAATTGAAGAAATCAAAACCCAGTTGCATGAACAAAGGCAAGGTATTCAAACAGAGAATTCTGATATTTTTCAAGAAACAAAAGTTCAGAGCCTTAACATAGAAAATGGAAGTGAAAAACATGATTTATCTAAAGCTGAAACTGACAGATTAGTTAAAGGAATAAAGGAACGAGAATTAGAGATTAAACTTCTAAATGAAAAGAATATATCTTTAACCAAACAGATTGATCAGCTGTCCAAGGATGAGGTTGGGAAGCTAACTCAAATTATCCAACAGAAAGATTTGGAGATTCAGGCTCTCCACGCTAAAATTTCTTCAGTTTCCTACAACCAGGATATTGTTTACCTTCAACAGCAGCTTCAGGCCTTCGCTATGGAAAGAGAACAAGTATTAGCTGTTTTGAATGAGAAGACTAGGGAAAATAGCCATCTTAAAACAGAATATCACAAAATGATGGATATAGTTGCTGCCAAAGAAGCAGCCCTCCTTAAGCTGCAAGATGAAAATAAGAAAATGTCTACTAAATTTGAAGGTGCTGGCCAGGAAATGTTTCGAGAAACTGTTCAGAATTTATCTCGTATCATTCGAGAAAAAGATATTGAAATAGATGCATTAAGTCAGAAATGTCAGACCTTATTGACAGTTTTACAAACATCCAGCCCCAACGATGCGGTGGGAGGTGTGAATAGTAATCAGTTTGAGGAGCTTCTACAGGAGCGTGATAAATTAAAACAACAAGTAAAAAAGATGGAAGAGTGGAAGCAGCAGGTAATGACCACAGTACAGAATATGCAGCATGAATCAGCCCAGCTTCAAGAAGAACTCCACCAGCTTCAGGCACAAGTGCTGGTAGACAGTGACAATAATTCTAAGTTACAAGTGGACTATACTGGCCTGATCCAAAGCTATGAGCAGAATGAAACCAAACTCAAAATTTTTGGGCACGAACTAGCGCAAGTTCAGCATAGCATAGGGCAGCTTTGCAACACCAAAGATCTTCTTTTAGGAAAACTTGATATTATCTCACCTCAGTTCTCTTCTGGATCATTGCTTGCCTCCCAGTCTGCAGAGTCTCTTAAGGCAGCTAAGTCTGAAACATTAAGTGAAGCTCCTCAGCAGGAGATAGAAGAGCTAAGAAAGTTGCTGCAGGAGAAAGATACAGCAATTAGAACGCTCCAGGAAAATAATCACAGACTGTCGAATTCAATCGCTGCCACCTCAGAGCTAGAAAAAAAAGAACACGAACAAACAGATTCCGAAATTAAACAGCTGAAGGAGAAACAAGATGTTTTGCAAAAGTCACTTAAAGAGAAAGACCTCTTGATTAAAGCCAAAAGTGATCAATTACTTTCTATAAATGAAAATTTCAAAAACAAGGTGAATGAAAATGAACTTTTAAGGCAGGCAGTAACAAACCTGAAGGAGAGGACATTAAGTTTAGAAATGGACATTTGTAAATTAAAAGAGGAAAATGAAAAAATAGTAGAAAAAACTAGGGAAAAGGAAACAGAATATCAAGCATTGCAAGAGACTAATATGAAGTTTTCTATGATGTTGCAAGAAAAAGAGTTTGAGTGCCACTCAATGAAGGAGAAAGCTCTTGCTTTTGAGCATCTACTGAAAGAAAAAGAGGTATGTTCTGGGTGGGGTATTACTATGTATTGAGGGTAGGAAGTTCGGGTAGAGGGGATTTTTTAACGTTACTCCATATTATCTTTGAAGAGGAATATGAATTTGTTCATTTTAGAAATACTTATGTTAAGGTGTCGTGTTTTGTTCTAAATAAATATTCTTCAGAGTCATCTGGAAGTTTCTCCCCCAAATTACTAGTTATTTCCAATATTTTTTAATATTGGGTTAATCTTTTAGAGCCTGTTAAGTAGGAAAGATTTAGTAATAAAATTTTTAGAAAATAGAAATATGCTACAAGAGTATTTTAAGTCAGTGCAGTTTAACCAAATTTTAGGCATATTTTAGTAGCTGCTAGTAATATTAACATTTCATAGGTTTTTGTATGTAAAGAGAAGCTCTATGAAATACATCTTCATCTTTGACAATCTGCAATAGGATATACATTTTACCGTGTGTGTGTGTGTGTGTGTGTGTGTGTGTGTAAGTGTGTAAAACTGAAGTTTCAGGAATTAGAAATTACCCTTACTATGTGTGATTCTGTATTTTAAGAAGTTTGACATGCTTGCATTAAATTGACTTTTATGAATCAGCCACAACCTAGGCTTTCAAAGCTGTTAGCCATGAGTAGTGCTTTTCACATAGTAGGCTCAGTAAATATCCTAATCCCAGCTCTGTCACTAGTGTGACTTTGGCTATGTTTTGACCTTACTGGTTTGTTTATTCAATAATAAAATGGAGGGTTGTAGCAGTTATATATGTAAAGCATCAGTAGCTTTTGATTATATTTAAATATTTGCATGCAGTTGATTTTGATTTTAATAAGAATGTACTGAAGACCTTCTACTACATCATACTATGATAGATGATGTGTAGGGCTTTTTGGTAGTGTTTATTACTCTGATTTCTATATTTTCAGTGGTAGAAGTTTGGAAAAGAAATGGGACTATTCAGCTAGTGCTTCTTGAGCATTTATGTACTGCCAGGCACAAGATACAAAATGATTTAACTTCTTTTGCCAGTTAGGTTCTCTCTTAGAATCCTAGATTAAGGTTTGGGAAATGCTTCATGTAGTTTTCACTTTAGTAAGAAAAGTCTTGTTTAATATTTCCCTTCTTTGCCATTTGATTAAGTAGGTACACTTAACAGTGTTGAGGTGTTCTCCCTTACATATAACGTCTTAGCTTCTTGTGGTGCTGCGCTGGAATTGGTATGAAAAAGACTCTTGAGAGCAGAAGCTTTCTATTGCTCACTAACCAAAATTGGGTGTAGTGTCTTAGGGCTGATACCTGACTATAAATAGACCAATAAGGTATGCAGATTTAAAACAGGCTATAAATAGCCTGTTACTTTTTTGTGCTTTCTAGAATTGCAGCTATCACCTTAATTTCATGGCCGAATTTTTTTTTATGTTTGTTTTTTTAAAAATTGATTTCAGAGAGAGAAAAAGAGTGGGAGAGAGAGATAGAAACATCAATAATGAGAGAGAATCATTGATTGGCTGTGTCCTGCACGCCCTTTACTAGGGGGATCAAGCCTACAACCCCGGGCTTGTGCCCTGACTGGGAATTAAACCATGACTTCCTGGTTCACAGGTTGATGCTCAACCACTGAGCCACACCTGCCAGGCTCATGGCCCTATTTTTGTAATGGTTATTTTTTCCCCCCTCCTGCTGTTTTTAATATATTGTATTTGTATGGAATGTAATCATTCCTTTTCCTAACCATTCTAGCAAGCTATCATTCCACAATTGCTTTCTTTCATTAAATTGTTGCCAAAATATTCTTTAGAATTAGATTGTACATATAAAATGACTTCCCTAGCCCAGCCGGCATAGTTCAGTGGTTGAGCGTCGACCTATGAACCAGTAGGTCAGAGTTTGATTCCCGGTCAGGGCACATGCTCATATTGTAGGCTCAATCCCCAGTGTGGGGCCTGCAGGAGGCAGCCGATCAATGATTCTCTCTCATCATTGATGTTTCTATCTCTCTTCCTCTCTTCTTCTCTCTGAAATGAATAAAAAGATATATATTAAAAATAATAATACTGACTTCCCTATTTCTCCTCTGCCAGCATCTTGATACTTACTTTCTCCAGCAACAATTGTGAATGCCTGATGAATGGACACACACACACACACACACACACACACACACACACGTGAGCACACACTTTTTTTGAGTGATTTGGGGTTTGTGAACATTGTTGTTTAGGGTAAATTTGAAGAGACTGTGTCTTTTGAGTTCTTTTTGCATATATCTAATAAACTTTTTCTTTAAGAATCATTTTAGATTATTAGAAAAGTTGCAAAGATAGTACAGAATTCCCATATACCTCACACCCAATTTCCCCTTATTTTTAACATCTTACATTACTATGGTACACTTGTAACAGCAGTGAACTAATATTGATACATTACTATTAACTAACGTTCACACTTTAGCCGGCTGGAGGGAGTTAATGGGAGAAAAAGGAGACATATGTAATACTTTCAACAATAAAGATTTTAATAAATAAATTCACACCTTATTTGAATTTCCTTAACTTTTAACAAACGCCCTCTCCTGCTTCAGGATGCCATCCAGGGTACCACGTGAGTCCTTAGGCTCCTTTAGACTGACAGCTCCTCAGACTTCCCTTTTTTGATCTTCACATGGATAACTATATTTTAAAATTAATTAATGAAGAAATGTCTTTCTTAAATGTATTTTTATTTAAAGCTGAATTTATTTCTTTCCTAAAGGGCGAGACAGGGGAGTTAAATCAGCTTTTAAATACGGTTAAGTCAATGCAGGAGAAGACGGTTACATTTCAACAGGAGAGAGATCAAGTCATGTTTGCCCTGAAACAGAAACAGATGGAAAACACTGCTCTGCAGAATGAGGTATTCTTTCACTTTAAACAAACAGATTCAAACACCAAGTTTAATAATTATGAAGAAAACTGTCAACATTAGCATTTAAAATGAATTTCTCTCATCGGCGGTTTTTTGCTTATTCTTGCTCTAATGTGCTATGGTAGGATTTTGATCTAGAATGCATTTTGCTTCAGTTCTCAAAAGTGAAAATCGTGATCTAATCATTATGTTGTACATCTGAAATTAAATTATACCTTGATTTTTTTTTAAATAAAAAAGTGAAAACAAAGGCATATCTTGGATATAAGAAAAAATTTCCCATCATAAAATATGGAAAAAATGAGATTTACTGAAAAAGTAGTCTGTGACAAAAATTTAATCTTTGTGTAATTCCATTTACTATCATAGCCACAGGCATGAGGTCTTACAAAAGAAACCTTCCACATGAATATTCAGGATCATTTCAGGAGACTTTTTTCCTAGCATAAATACATCTTGCAGTATGAGAAAATAATATACAGTTAATACACTTCAGTAATTGGAGGGAAATTTGATAACAGGTAGTGGCTTGTGGAGGGGGAGGGAGCATTTTATAGAAGAAAAATAAAGAAATGTCCTCTATCTAGGTTCAACATTTACGTGACAAAGAATTACGCTTAAACCAGGAACTAGAGAGATTGCGTAACCATCTTTTAGAAACAGAAGATTCTTACACCCGTGAAGCTTTGGCTGCTGAAGATAGAGAGGCTAATCTAAGAAAGAAAGTCACAGCATTGGAGGAAAAGCTAGTTTCATCCTCTAGTGCAATGGAAAATGCAAGGTAACTTCCTCCCTTTTTTTAGTCTTACTATTAACAAATCTTGATTATAATACCCAATAAGCATTTTTCACATTTTGCCTTATTTTTTTTCTTATAAGATTTATTTTGTCTATTTTATAGATGAAGAAACTTAGAGAAAAGAGGTTTAGTAACCTTTCTGAGGTCAGGCAGTGTGTGGGGGTTTCATACTGGGGTCTAACTCTTAACTAGATCTGGCATTCAAAGTGAGGTTTCTTGGAATCTTAACCATTACCTAAATAATTGCTTCTCATCATTTAGGAGTTTAGGCTTAAATCCCAACTGATTCATTTAGTTTTCAAGCTCCTAAAGGACTAATTTAATTAAATTTGTGTGATTTTATTTTTAATCAAATGATCTGAGGTTGAACAAGGTTTGGCTCTAAAAGGGAGTAAAGGAAGTAGCAAGGTGAAGAATTAAACTGGGTCAGTAAGAATTAACTCTTGGTTTCTTAGAACTTTTGAAAAACCAGGTGTATAGATAGATAGATAGATAGATTGATTGATTTGATTAAGGACATATGTGTCCTTATCTCCTCGTTGCCCGCCCCCCCACTCATGCCCTTTTTTCTCTAATTAAAACTAGTCTCTGCCCCCTTTCATTTACCCTTCATAATTGCCAGAATAGCCTTCATTGAGTAGATGATCTTGTTACTCCTTTTTCCAAAATCAGTAGTCTTATTTCTCACTATCATCTACATTATCCAAACTTTATCATTCAGTTATTCAGATACAGCTATTTTTCTATTTCTTTCTACTTTTTGTTTATGTTCTTTCTTCTACCTGAAATTGGGCCTGATCCTAACAGTTTTTCTGTCAAATCCCACATGTTCTTCAAATAGCATTTTCTTCTTAAAGAATGCTTTATTTTCCACCCCACTCCTCAAACCCCAAACCAAACCCTGGTATGATACTATTTCCTTTCAACTCAAATAGTAATTTGAGTCTTGATAGGGCACTTCTATTTATACTTTATACAGGTAATGTTGACTCATCTTATACTTTCTCCCACCCAAATAGAATGTAAGGTTACCAAGGGTAGGAATGATGTCATTTATTTTGTACCCTTCCCACAAACATGTTCTCACACATAGTTTAATAGATGTTCATTAAATATTTTTATATAAGTAATTCAAATCTACAAACCTACCTAACAACAGTAACATGTGGTAATCTGTTAAACTCTTGTCTTTACTATCTTTGATTTTCTAACCAGCAAAATTGAATACAACTCAAGAGACACCTGTCTCTAAGGGCAGTTGTCTCCTGTTTATCAATTTACTGCTCTTTCCACAAGAGGGTGCTACTGGGTAAAGTTTCTTCAGAGTAGCTGCTCTAAAAGGACTTTGACGGGCTTCTCGAGTAAGAATTTAACTGGGTATTAAAAACCCAAGAAAGACTATTACAATATTTTGTATATAATAATTATACATTAAGGAAGTACATCAATGACATAAGCTTGGATAGGTGCTATGTAAATCTCTTAGGAGACTCTGATTTATCTTTTGGGGCAGTTGTAGAGGTTATTTAATACACAGAAAGATGATGGTAAAAGATAATTAACTAGTAAACAGATCAGTTAATCTATGGCACATGTGTCAAACACAAGGCCCGCAGGCCAAATCCGTCCCGCCAGGCCTTGCAATGTGGCCTGCACCGCGCTGTCATCACTGCACTCCGCTGCGTTTCCATCACAATGACAGTTTATGACTGTTCAGTAAACCATTTGGCCCGCGATTTAGGCTGGATTTTAGATTTTGGCCCCTTCTCTGATTGAGTTCGACACCCCTAATCTATGGGCTCACCTTAGGAAAGCTGTGACTTCATCATGACTTCACATGTTAACAGCATGAGGTGTCATAGAATCATTGCTCATTAGATTGGAAGCTGGACAAAATGCCTTCCAAGGGCCCTTAGAACTTAGAATTTTATGATAAATTACATCATAGAGTTGCTTTTTTTTTTTTTAATTTTCCTCGTGGTGACGGTTCTTATTTACGCAATGCTGTCTGTAAAATTGATTGCCATTTAGAGTCACTTTCACAAGAAGGATGGTTAAAAACAGGGAGAACAAAGATCAGAGGCACTCTTCAAGTTTCTTTAATGCGATAAAATATAGGTCACATTCATGGAGACAGGAAGTAGAATTATGGTTGCTGGGGAATGGGGGTTGTTTAATGTGTGTGGCGTTTGGCTGGGTAAGATGAAAAAGTTCCGGAGGTGAATGGTGGTTGGTGATGGTTATACAATAATGTGAATGCACTTACTGTAGTGCCACTGAACTCTACACTTAAAAATGATTAAAATGGTAAATATTATATATATTTTACCAAAATAAAAAAAGTAGGAACAAGACTTCGTCTTGTTTAAGTTATCTAAATACTATGAAGTCTAATTTGCATTTTTTCCACCAAAATGTACGGAAAATGTTTCAGCTTGTAAAGAACCTAAATAGAAACAGTTTGACTTTTATTCTTTTTTATTTGAAGCCATCAGGCCAATTTGCAGGTAGAGTCATTGCAGGAACAATTGAACGTAGTCTCCAAGCAAAGGGATGAGACTGCCCTGCAGCTTTCTATGTCTCGAGAACAAGTAAAGCAGTATGCTCTATCACTCTCCAACCTGCAGATGGTACTAGAGCATTTCCAGCAAGGTGAGTAGTATGGTTAGTCTCTCACTGAAGAAAAATTATCCTAGTTATTGGGAATTATGGCTTATTTCAGTGCCATTTTAGATTAGGCCTGGGGATATGGATATCTTTGAAAGGTTACCCACTAGTTGGGGGGGGAAGATAAGTAGTCATCAACAAGTTAATTTAGACTGCTTTTATAATTAAGACTAGAGAACATAAACTATATATAGTAATTATTAAAATTTATTTTAGTATGTTATGAGCTATTAAGATTGTTGGGTAACTATAAGTGTAACAAAAAAGGATGATCACGCGATAATGAGGGGGATACAAAGGAAGAGAGAGCACTGGTAGAAAAGATGGTTAGGTTTTTAAGGTATCGGTTAGAGGTTGAATCCACTTCAAAGAGTTAATATCAGTAACTGCTGTCCTTTGAAATATTGATGAGCCTATTCTTAGCTCTTCATCTATACTTTGAGGTAATTATGTTTTCTAGTCCTGGTGGAAAATAGTTTTTGGAGACATAATAATGGCTGGAGCAGTTTTACCCTGATAACTGAATATGCTTTCTCACATCTATCTCCCATCCTCCGATTTACCCCCTTAGATCATTCACCCATCCATTTGTTTATTCATACATTCAGTAATTACTGGCAATGAATTAACTGCTAGTGAGGGCAAGTGGGTGATTAGGGGATATGAGGCTAATGAAGCAACAGAGTTCTAGTTTTGTGCCTTAGTCATTCTTTAAATTTGTACATATTTAGGCCTTCAGGGTTACTCATGGTTGAAATGAATTTTAAACATAAGATTTTAGATCTACTCTATATAATACTAAACGGAACATGTGTACAAAGTATATGGTACTGGGGCCATAGGAAAAGCTTTGCCAAAGAGGAAATATTTGGGTGGAGTTCTGGAGGGGGGGGAAGAGTTTGCAAGATGGACAAGCTGGAGAAGCAGTTAGGCAGGAGAAACTGATCTCATTACCGTAATTCCATTAACCCTATCACTAAGGCATCTATAATTGTTGAGACATATGAAATGTTTTTGTTGAATTGTTAAAATTTCTAGTGGTTTAAAATTCTAATTTTATCGCACAATTGCAAAATACTATGTAATTTTTTTCCTCTTTAGAGGAAAAAGCTATGTATTCTGCTGAACTAGAAAAGCACAAACAGCTTGGAGCTGAATGGAAGAAAAAGGCAGAAAATTTGGAAGGAAAACTGATATCAGTACAGGTTGGTTGAAATAATTTCCCTTGAAAATATTTTTTTGATGCAATTTATGTTATCCCATTAAATTTTTCCTTTGCAGAATAATCCTTTAAAATATTTTTATCTTTATTATTATGCTATATTTCATATATACAAAAATCATAAGATGTAAATAAAATGAACATTCATGAACAGATAAGACACCAAAGTGACTTGCTTTTAGATTTAGGATAAACTTTTCTAAGTCATGAATTGACACTGGTGGAAAATAAAATTTGTTTATCTGTTATGTTGTTCAGGCTCATTAATATTCCAAATAAGTAAAGCCATATTTCCTATAAAGTTTTGAAATTATTAACTATTGAGTGGCTGTAAAATAGTATCCTATATAATAAAAGGGTAATATGCAAATGTTTTTAAAAATATTAAGTTTCTTGTAAGAAAATCTAAAAGATCACATGTATGTAAAGAGGTTTTCACAGAAGAGCAGATCTAGCTGTCCTGTAATCATGAGAAAACACTCAAATTCACTAGTAGCTAGGGAAATAAAAAGTAATGATGTAACATCACTTTATACCCATCAGGCTTACAGAAATGAAAAAGAACATTTGTTACTATCTTTCTTGATTTTCTGTTTCTGCTTTTTGTAGCTTTTATTCAGTACTGTCACCTTTTTAAAAAATATATATATATTTTATTGGTTTTTTACAGAGGGGAGGAGAGAGGGATAGAGAGCTAGAAACGTCCATGAGAGAGAAACATAGACCAGCTGCCTCTTGCACACACCCTACTGGGGATGTGCCTGCAACCAAAGTACATGCCCTTGACCTGAATCGAATCTGGGACCTTTCAGTCCGCAGAGGGACGCTCTACCACTGAGCCAAACCTGTTTCGGCCTTTTTTTTTTTTTTTTTAACTTTTGTCACCATGTTGTCTTTTTGTAGTAGTCTTTTCTGATTAGTTCCTCTTAACAGAGTATTGTGTTATAAAGTGTGGGTTCTGCCGAAGGACTTGTATACATGCATATAAGTACAACCAATGGACATAAAACTATGGGGAGGGAGGGGATATGGGGGAGGGAGGGAAGGGGCAAAAAAAAAAAATCATTAAAATATGTAAAAATAAATAAATAAATAAATTAAAAAAAAAAAAAAATAAAGTGTGGGTTCTGTCTTTCACACTTTAGTTGCTTCATCTTGCCCAAGGTCATCAGCAGAAATGAAAAGTGTTGATGACTCTAGGAAGTCTAATAGCCCTATTTGTGAAATAGTTTTTACATGCTGCTTTTTATTTTTTAAATATAAATGTATGTATATATGTACCCTGGCTGGAGATTGAGCCCACAACTTTGGCATATTGGGATGATGCTCTAACCCAGTGTTTTTCAACCTTTTTTGGGCAAAGGCACACTTGTTTCATGAAAAAAATCACGAGGCACACCATCATTAGAAAATGTTAAAAAATTTAACTCTGTGCCTATATTGACTATATATAAAGTAATTCTCTTGAATAGGAATCAAATAAACACAAAGAAAGTATTTTATAATTACTTTATTATGAAATATTAAGTAAACAAAATAGTGAAAAATTATAAAATTCTTGTCTTGTCTGCACCTACGGCACACCAGGCAACATCTGTGCCGGAGAACAGCGGTTGAAAAACGCTGCTCTAACCAGTTGTCAGCTCTCTGGCCAGGGCTTTACTTGTTGCTTTTTTTGTTTGTTTGTTTGTTTGGGGTTTGTTTTTTGTTTTTAATTAATCCTCACTGGAGGATATTTTTCCATTGATAGAGAGGGTAGGAGGGAGGGAAAGAGACAGAGAGAAACAAGGGTGTGAGAGAGATGCATTGTTTGGTTGGTTCCCTCAGGCAACTGAGATAATGCCCTTGTCAGAATTGAACCCACAACCCTTTAGTCTGCAGCTGATGCTCTGTACACTGAGCCAAACCAGCCAGGGTTACCTGCTGCTTTTTAATGAACTTTTCTTCTTCAGGAACGTTTGGATGAAGCAAATGCTGCATTGGATTCAGCATCAAGACTCACAGAGCAATTAGATTTAAAGGAAGAACAAATTGAACAACTTAAAAAACAAAGTAGGTTTTTTCTTTTCTTTTCCTTTTTCTCTTTTTCCTACAAACTAGTATTGAATTAGTTGTAACTATCTCCTGTGCATTGGTGCAGTTGAGTAAGACCAGCTTCCTTTGTTGTGTGTCTTCCATTTCCATCTCCCATTAACCAATTTGCTTCCATTTGAATACGGTCCTAGTGAAATCAGACTCATAAATTGGCCCTGGCTGTCCAGTTAGTTTTCCTTGGTATCTAGGCAGTCCAGTTGTGTGGGCTTGACTCTGTTGACCATCAAGGGGATTAATTTGATTTACCTGATTTTTATGTTTATGTCTTCTCTAATCAGTCCTACTTAAGAATAGCTTAAAGGGAATTAAAGCCATCCTACTTAAAGCCATCTGATAGAGAGTGCAATATCATCAAGTGAAAGTAACTTTTTGTGTAATGAATGTCTGGGCATAAATAGCTTTTTATGATTATAGATGGTGCTTTACATAACGGCCACTCATGTATTTTTTGATGCTTATAAGGTTTCTCTTAAGCCTTGTCAGTTCACCATGTTGAGTGCTGTACTTAGGAATATGAATTGGATCTCAGAAAATCAGGTGGTTCTCAAGTGCTTTGTTGAATCTAACATCTGACAAGGATGGCATGTGCTCATTTAATCTCTGCTTAAAAGTCCTCAAGTAGGGCTGCATTTAGTAGGTAACAATGGAAGATTGTCTAAAGGTGATAAAGGGATCTAGAAATGCAGCAACTTGAGTTGTCTGGGTTAGTCATAGTAGCACCAAAGCACAGAATGAACTTTTCCCTTGCCAAAATTCATGTACCACCTAAAATAAAATAGAAATTAGAAACAGGAAGAACTAGAAGGTGGCACAGCAGAGATACTATCAGACAACAGAAACAGGACTTGGAGGCTAAAGAGGCAAGCAGACAAGAACCTCTAAAACATGGATGCCAAACGACAAGCCAGAGTAAGTGGGCCTACATCCAGCAGGAGTCAGGAGATAAGAGGTTTTTAGGAATTCAGAAAATTATAAAGTAGATCAAGTGAGGTCATTTCTCTCGAAATAACTTCATTCGGAGGCAGATTACTGGCCAACTACAAGTCCTCCGTTTACTTTGAAGGACTTGGCTAGTCTGGGAATTCTAAAATTTTTTTTTTAAAATATATTTTATTGATTTTTTACAGAGAGAAAAGAGAGATAGAGAGCTAGAAACGTCGATGAGAGAGAAACATCAACCAGCTGCCTCTTGCACACCCCCTACCGGGGATGTGCACGCAACCAATGTACATGCCCTTGACTGGAATTGAACCTGGGACCTTTCAGTCCGCAGGCCGACGCTCTACCACTGAGCCAAACCGGCTTCGGCTAGTCTGGGAATTCTAAATGCTTCAGAGGGCCTGGAAGCTGGCAGCAGGCACACAGTTTTATATTGAGCACCATGGACATTTTCTATAACATTTACTGTATGTTACTTCTTTTACTCTGCACAGCAACTTTAAAGTAGGTAGTACTAGTTCCATTTTATAAGTTAAAGAAACTGAAATTTGGACTCTGATGCTTTACCTTTGGCCAAAGTTCATGTTATATCTTTTCTTCCTGTCAGGAAAATGGCTTTTTATAGACTGACTTATATTTGTTCTGTATATCTCCATCCCCTTTGAAGGAGGACAGTATCCTCAATGTTGAAATGGTTGCTCTTATCTGGAGACAGAATTTATTGGGAAAATTAGATTGAAGGCTAGTGCGGCTGCAGCATTATCTGGAAGACATGAGCAACTCAGAGGGAATTGCTATCTTAGGGCAGGGCTAACTAATGGAGGTGAAAAGCAGTATTCTGTCACTCCTCAGAATCGGTGACAGCTCAGTGTTATATGTCATGCTATTAGAATGTCTGAAGCCACATCCCCTTTTAGACATCTACCTGAGTTATTCTTATCATAGTAGATAAATATCAGAATTCTTACACTACTTAGTACTTACTCAGGCATCCATTTAAGCTCTCAGTAGTAGATTTTCAGATTTTGGTTATAAATGACAAGACTTAAGTGGCCTAGGTCCCTATTCATGTAAAAAATTTACAATTAATATTCATTGTAAATGTATAGTACCTTTGGACTTACTTTGTGGAGTCAGTATTAGCTGTAGAAAAAGCCCTAATTATGCTTATACAACTGATATTTGAAAGGCAGGCAAAAGGCCAGTACTGCATAGACAGGAAGTAGGGGGTAGAGAGAGTTCTCTTATGCCTTTAAGCTATTCTTGCCATTTACACTCTTCTTAACATTCTGTTTTCTTTTATTACCTAAGTACTTGATATTGCTTTTATATCTTTAAACCCAAATGTGATTTTATTTTCTCAAAGCTACACTCTTGATTTGATAATATAAATAAAACTTTGATTGGCTTGGTTGTTTCAAAAGAATCATTGTATATTTTCTTTCACAGATCATTAAGTACTTTAAATGTTGATTGATGTTGTAATACTGTACTTTATTTTTAACACAAAACTTGGCCAGACAGCAAAAATATTTGCCAGGAGAAACAAGTTTGAAAAGGACAGATTGGCTTTTGTTGTAAGAAGGTACATAGAGACTTGAATCGTAGAGGCAAAGTATTGTTTTATTTCTAAGCGTATGTTGACTGATGATTAGTTGATATGCAGTTTCAACATTTAAACAATATTAGGAAACTCATTTTAAAAAGTGATATTTTATTCAAAATGCTGATTATGTCATTGCTACCAGAAATGAGATGATTAAGTCTTGTTAAACATGAAAAGGGAGCTATTGTATATAATACCAGGATTAAAACAGTAATTGTTGATGATTTCTATCATTCTTAGAATACGTAATTGTTAGTGCCATGTACGTGTAACTGTGCTTGTGAGTTTAGGCTCTGGATGGAAAGTATGAAGGTGCCTTATCAGGCATTAAATTCTTAATGACAACCAACTACTTGGCTTCATTTTTGATGCTGTGTGAGAAACTAGATAGGATTCCTTTTTTCAAGGAAGTGACACAGCGCAGGTACATCATAGGTTCATAATTTCAGATAATGGTGTACAACAGTGTTCTTCAGACAGTGCATATTTAGTTCCTAGAGAACCCCATTAAGGGGCAGGAATATTCCATGGGAAGGAGCTTGAGCAGAGCCCCAAACCCTTCCAGGACTTTCATCTTGACAGTGTGCAAACTTCTCTCTCATCCCCTACCCCCTAAGAGAAAGTAACAATAAAAGAAAATCCTAAGATGATAGAGGTGCTGCTGTACTTTAATAGATATTGTTGGCTTGTCGAAGAATTAGTGCATTCCTTCCTTTTAGAAGTTATTCTTGCAACATTTTGCCAGAAAATAATATTTTTCTATTATTTTTTCCCTTCCTCCTTCTCTCTCTATTTCCCTCCCTCCCTCCCTCACTTCTTTCCTTCCTTTTTTGTTGTTGTTGTTGTTCTTGTTGTTGTTGTTGTTAATCATCACCCAAGGATATTTTTCCATTCGAAGAGAGGAGAGAAACAGAGAGAAACATTGACGTGAGAGACATCAATTGGTTGCCTCCCACACATGCCCCTAAATGGGGTAGGGATCAAGCCTGCAACCAAGGTACATACTTTTGACCAGAATTGAACCTGGGGATCAGTGCTCTTATCCACTGAGCCAAACTGGCTAGGGCTAAAAGTGTTCTTTTTCAATATAGTTCCAAAGACTTAATTCACATATCACCCTATTTTTTATTGATTTTTTTTTTTTTTAATGAAACAGGTAGGTCAGTACCACTCATTAATTCTTCTGAGTTGATCAGAGTTCATAATTTCCATGAAATTGTTATTCATGAGAAAACACACACCTATGTAAACCTATCCTGTTTCCCCGAAAATAAGACAGTGTCTTATATTAATTTTTGCTCCCAAAGATGCACTAGGTCTTATTTTCAGGGGATGCCTTATTTTTCCATGAAGAAGAATACGGTGCACATTTATTGTTAAATGAAAATAAAGGAAATTTATTACCTCTGTATACGGTACGGTAGTACGGTAGTTGTCAACACAAACCAGACAAACTGTGAATCCTACAGTATCAAGAATTTACTCATTTATTCAGTGACAATCATGTCATCATCTTCTGGAACATCATCATAACAATCCAATTCCTGAATTTCCTGGTGAATTTCTTGTGACCCCATTTCTTTCAGAATCAGTGGACCAAATCTCTCATGTTTAGCCTGGGGGGGCCTTATTTTCGGGGGGATGCCTTATATTTCACTCAGAAGGAAACTTCTAAATAGGTCTTATTTTCGGAGGATGTCTTATTTTTGGGGAAACACGGTAGACTACAGTGGAACCATTGAAAGAAGTGTTATCTTGCTGTGTCTATGGCCAGCTTGGATGTTTTTCTTTTTCTTCTTTCACATCTTGTTCTGTACCATCATTCTTAAAATAAATCCCTGCTGAAATGAAGAAGATGGAATAAATTTGAAATGGAAAGAACAAAATAGTTTTTGTTTTAATAACTATTATTCAAAATGGTGGTGAATTTTGGGGTACACAAAAAAAAATAAGTCTTCATAAACAGTGCAAGTTTAGATTCTAGCTTTGGGGAAATCTTTTAGCCTGTCTGCTAGTTTATGCCCTTATTTTAAAGGGCTCCATTACTGGTTGTTGTTGTTTTTGTTGTTGTTGTTGTTTTAGGGAATGTTTGGTCACTGCTTTTAAAAAAAGTCTTCTATGAGTTGAGAGTGGAAAATTGCCTTAGTGTGTTTTGTTTTGTTTTTAAAGAAAATCTAGAATGTAAAAATGAGACCCAGTAAACCTGCTATAGAATGAAGTATAAAAACATGAGTTAAAACTACAAATATAAGAGAAGTTTACAGTATTTTTTATGGAACTACGTTTTGGGTGCTGGATGGCAGAGTTTTTATTTTAAATAAAGACATTCCATTTTCCAGGACATGATTTATATAAGAAAACATATAATGTCCTGTTGAACATAGGCCAAATACATTCCCAGACGCTTTGTTAC